ATTTATATGTTGAAGCCCAGCCCCCAGTAACTCAGAATGGGACTATATGGCCAAAAGAAAGCCATTGTCTCATAAATCTGTGTTTCTTGGGCCTCCATACGGACTGTGAACATAGGAGATGCTTGTGGGCCCTAAACAGAAGGTGACTGACGCTGATTTGGCTCGGGCACCAGAGCCCCGTTTAACATGTAACAATCTGATGGCCTTACAGCCACATTCTGGGTTTACAGCCTCGCGTCAGGGAAAACCAAGCCCCAGAATTCCCCGCCGCGTTAGCTGCCTGGCCACCTCCACAACATCCAGCAAGAAGCCCTCTGTTTCTCTGGGGCACCAGGACATGTGTCCATTCTGCGTTTTAGCACTGAGATCCACTAACAGAGGTACTGTTCCCACCCACACCATTTGAGGGGGGGCCGGGTTCCTGGGCGCACCCCCTGCACCCTGTCAGCTCAGCTCTGTGCATTGGCCCCATATGGAGCAGAAAACAGCTTCATCCTTAAGTCCCTCTTTGACTCTGAGTGTCTCCTGCCAAATATTGGACTTGTCTGCATTTTACCTAAATGGAGTGGATCTGGGTTCTCTGAATAATGACCTGCTTGGTTAGAAGAAAGAGAACCTGATTCTAGCTCCATCTGGAACTAGAATGAGGGTGCATATGCAGACAAAATCCAACCCACCAGCCCTTCCTGCCCCCCTTCCCCGGTTTGTTTTCATCCATGTCACTTGTCACCGTCATCTAATTTACTACGTATTTGCTTTATTTGCTCACCCCTGCCCCCCTCATTTCCAGCAGAATGGGGGAGGGGGGACCACGAGGGCAAGGATTTTATCTGTTTTATTCCCTGCTGTTTCTGTAGCACCTTCAACACTGCCTGGCACAGAATATGGTGTTCGATGTGTGTATGTTGAGTGAATGGATGAATAACTGACACGGAGGTGGGTCTCCACCCTCCTCACTACCTTGGGAATGCCCTCCGGCGCCCCTAACCCCTCACCTTCCTCTAAAAGAGATTTCCATTTGCACCTGGTCCCTCTATGGCTATGCCCCTGCCCTACAAATGTCCCTCCAGGGCCAAGGCGGTTTCTGGTCACAGATGTGAAACGAGTCAGGGTTCCATGGATCCTAAAACCCACATAAACAGATCTGCCAGTGGCCTGGGGTTCCTGCCCCCTTAGGCAGAGTTCTCAGGTGACAAGAGCCTGAGGCCAGGATCTGTGGTGGTGTTGGGGACATTCAGGGTCCCTGGGCAACTGCCGCCTGAGGACAGACAGGAGGGAGCGGTAGTGCCTAAAGGCTCTGAGGGCTGGAGGGCAAGGGCAACAGAGAGAGCACTGGGCCAGGGGTCAGGATCCGGCCTCCCAGGCTGCTCAGCAGTCTCAAGCCCGGCAAGCCAGTCAGACTCCCTGAGCCTCAAGGACCTTTCTGGAGCTGTTGTGAGACCAGGAAGAGAACCACCAGGGAGGGAAGCAGGAGAGTGGTGGCTGCACTTGAATCTTCTACGTGACCCACAGGTTTCCAAACCAACTTCCACCTCTTACCGCATTATTATATCAGGCTCAGCATGTGGTTAATGAGCTATTATTATTATTCAGTGTAAAAGAATGCAAGAGAGTAACCGGATGCCAGTTGTGGTGCAAAGGTACAGTCTTACTATAGTTGTCCTGCTCCCCAGTATTCTCCAGTATTCTCCCCTCTCCTGGCCCCCACCCACTTCTAGGTGGGGCACACATTGGTGGGCTGCCTTGGGTGTGGCTGTGCTTCTGGGCCTGGAATCCTTCCAGAAGCTGCAGTCTCTTAGTGACTGAGTTGAGATCATATGTGATCTCCACCTTAAAGAGGTTCTAGAGTCAGTCAAATGCCAGGTCTACTACTTAGCTGTGTGACCTTAGCCAAGTTAATTACCCTCTCTGTGCCTCACGTTCCTCCTCCATAAAATGCAAATCATGATAGGTAGCACCAGCCTCATACGGTGATGCATTACTGAAGACATCCATGTCCCCGAAACAAACCCCATGCTTGCCAGCCTCTCTGCCTTTGGTCTTGTTGATTCCTTCACCTGTAAAGCCCTCTTCCCTCCTCACCTCTGCCCACTGGAACCCTACCTAATCCGCAGGGCACTGCTCAAATGGCACCACCTCCATCAAGTTTTTCTGGGTCTCTGTCACATGCGCCCTCTCCTTCCCTTCAACTTCCCTGACACGCTACACCTCTCTGTGACCTCAACGTGGAGTGGCATGAATGAGGCACATATTTTATTCCCAGCCCCCTTCTCAACGGCAAGCTTTGGAGTCAGACCTGAGTTTGACTCCAGCTTTGCCACCTAATAGCTGTGTGATCTCAGCCCCAGTTTCTTAAATTCTCTGATCCTCCATTTCCCCATCTGTAAAAAGAACAGAATAAAACACCTACCTCACAGGGTTTGCAATAAGAATTAAAGAAGATAATGCGTATAGGACATTTAGCACAGTGCACACCGTATCATATGTGCCAGCAAATGCTATTATAATTATAATGATTATTGGCACTAAGTTGTAAAGGTCGCCATTTGAAATTCTTTCCTCTGGGTCTCTCTCCCAATTCAGGTATCTCCTAAAGCACAAATCTTGGGGTGAGTCACTGGTAGCCCCAGGGAGCAGCAACTAGTTAATTCTCACTGAAGACTCAGCTGCTCTTTCGACAACAGAACTTTTTGTGCCTCATGCAAAAGGAGAAGAGAGAAGGGGAAAGAGCAGAAGCTAGAAGGAGGTCCCAAGGAGACTTGTGCCTACTTCTTGGTCTTGACCTTGGTCCCAAGCAAAAGGGGTGTAACATGAAAGATGGCTCCCATGTGCTAAGGGCTCTGCCTGAGGCACCAAGGTGGGACCTTTCCACGTGTTCTCTTTGAACCCCCATGACAAACCTGCAATATCATCCCTCTCCCTCTTTACCAGTTGATGACTCTGACCTCCAAGAACATAAGTGGCACACAACCAGTGGCAACATAGCCCAGATTCAAAGCCAGGTCTACCTTACTCCAGGGCTTATTGGACAGGAGAGGGGGTGGGTGGAGTAAGGGGAAAGAATGTTCATCCACCAAGAGCACACACCCCCCATGATAGGGCAGAAAAAGCAATCTGTGAAAATATATGGTTTTATTTACGGAAAATGAATTCAGCATACAACTTCATCATAATGCCATTTCTCGAAACATTAACTCCCATCAATGTTGTAAAAGCCTGGGAAGCTACAAAACATCTTTTTTTTAAAAAAACTCCCTGTTATCTATAAACATCCACTTTTCAGGCCAACCAAGATGTCGGCCCCCCCTCCCCTTGATCTGTTGATTTTAAATCTAGAAAGGTCAAGGGTGGCCACACGTGTTCCTGTGGTTTTGAAAAAGGTTCTCAGAAGCCTGCAAGCCCAGGGGAAAGCAATGCTGACTTTAATTGCTCTGTGAATTAGAGCCTCCCCTTTTGGTTTAAATCCACACCACAAACGTATTATTTTCTCCAGTCTTAGAAACAGTGGTGATGCCACTGTTTTCTCTTGTCCAATCCTGCCCTCTAGTGGTTCCAACCTAATTGAATAATAGAGAAAGTAACTCCACCAGAGAGACAAGTGTGCCACCCAGACCCCTTCACTCCCTTACTCCCTCACCCACCCAGCCAGCCAGCCATCCCTATGGCTACTCATTTAGGCATCATTGCTTGAGAACCTACTATGCGCAAGCAACAAAGATTCTGGATGCCCTAGGTACTTAGTCATTCATTTGCTAATGTGGAACTTGAGGGTCTGGGGGAAATAGGCCAGATCTGGAGTCCAGAAACCAGGGTTGGAATCCCAGCTCTGCCCCTTAAAGCCTGAGTGACCCCAGGGACGAAGGTCAGTTCCCTGCTGGACTTGTTTCCTCCCCCCTTACCCATCTTCAAAATAGTATTACATGCACCCCCTTAATTTTTATTTAATTTTCACAACCAACCTGCCCCTCTATTCCTGGAGCACACTTAGGTTTTCATCACAGAGGAAAGGCAGGAGAGCCAATGCGTAAGCCCAGACCATGGCTTCAGAAGCCCTGGGTTCAAATCCCAGTTCTGCCAGTTACCTGCCTTGTTACTTTGGACAAACTACTTAACCTCTCTTAGTCTCTTTTTTTTTCTTGTCTGTAAAATGGGCATAAACATAGGGTTCAACAAGATAATTCACGTTCTCACATTTCAGTGTAAGCAAAAGCCCCTGGGGATTTTACTAACAGGACAGCCCCTTCTCAAACTTACTAGTCCAGAATCTCTGAAGATGGCCCCAGGCATCTGAGCCAAGCTGCCCAGGTGATCCCGATGTACAGCAGCCTTTGACAACAAATGGAATACAGCTGGCCCCCTGGTCGTCAAGCTTGGCCTCAGGTTGGAATCTTTAAAAATACCTCCCTCTCTAGATTCTGATAGAATGGGTGCGGGGTGGAGCCTGGCACTGGGATTTTTAAGAATTCCTGGAGTGATTCTCATTTGTAGCCAACGTTGAAAACCACTGCCTTAGTCCCGTGCCTGACACAGAGAAAGTCCTTAACACATGTTAAAAGAAACCCTACCAACACATCCACGTCATGCCTCAAACACTGTGCCTTTATTCAACAACTACACATAGTGAGCCTCTGTCTGGGGCCAGGCACTGGCAATAGAGCAGCCATCCAACTGAAACAGACAAAACTCTGCCCTCAGGGGGGTCACAATAATGCAGGGGCCAGTGTGTCATCTTGTACTGGGCCCCAAAGATTGTGCAGCCCACCCAGTGAGTGGGGACTGCATTTCACACAGGGCCTTGTGGGTCACGGTAAGAACTTTTTCTCTTTGAGATGGGAAGTAGTCACACCTCCCACAATTATCTGCCTTGGTAAAGAAGAGATTTCGAGATGCAATTTCACCTTCAAAAAATGAGACCATCCAATAGCAAGATTTCCGTCGGGGGTGGGGGGGACCTGGTCAGGGGGAGACACATTGGTGCAGTGAGGCCTCCTCTGACTTACCCTGTCCTGTGTGTCTGTCTGTTCCCCTTCGAGTAAGGCAGTCTGAGCAGGAGATGGACGACCATAGCCTGGAGCTTCCCCTGCCGCTGCTGTTCGCTGTCCTGCAGCCCGCAGCCTCCTTCCTCCCAGCAGACGCAACGGGTCAGATGTTTCCAGCTGTACAGGCAAATGGAAATACTTACTGGTAATCAGGATTTGAGCTTTGCACCTGCTCCCCTTGGCGGCTGAGCCTACTTCAGAGGCCAGAGGGTGGAGGGGAAACCCTTTTTTAATCCCTGCAGCTACTCAGCTAACCCCCAGCTGCTCGTTAGCATCCATGAGTGAGGCCAGGGAAGCCCCGTGAAATCTTGTTAAATCACTGAGAGCGAGCCAGGGAGGGAGGGTGGAGAGGCCTCTCCAGGTCTTCCAACTAAAATAACTGACTCAGTCACTCACTCTCCTCTCCCTGCGTATCTTTATTCATAGTGCCTATCACAAGCTGACACTTCATGTTTGTTTACTTCTAGTAGTCGGCCTCGCCCCCTGGAATGTAAATTCTGTGTTCATCACCAAGGTGTCCGCAGCGCCAAGGGGTATGACACCTACAGGGAGGTTTGTTGAATGAATGAATGTCTCTTTTTCAGTTGACTCCAGTTAATACCAACGTTGCTGCTACTAAATGCTCCAGCGAGGAGAACGGGGCTGGGGGAGAACTAACTGACAACAGCAGTTCTGTGTAAGCAGGACAGGAGACTATCTTTCCCTCATAAAGAGAGAGGATTCGTTAGCTGAGTTTGCAGGGCTTTTTCCCTAGGAGGAGGAGGGGGAAGGGAAGGGATCAAATGGGATCACAAATGGGAATCCCAAGTACAGCCATCAGAAGTCCTGCTGGACCTGCAGGGTTTTTTTGTTTGGTTGGTTTTTGTTTTTCCTCCAAAAGCATGGTTCCACATTAAAAACCCAGCCTCGGGCTTCCCTGGTGGCGCAGTGGTTGAGAGTCCACCTGCCGATGCAGGGCACACGGGTTCGTGCCCCGGTACGGGAAGATCCCACGTGCCGCGGAGCGGCTGGGCCCGTGAGCCATGGCCGCTGAGCCTGCGCATCCGGAGCCTGTGCTCCGCAACGGGAGAGGCCACAACAGAGAGAGGCCCACCAAAAAAAAAAAAAAAAAAAAAAAAAAAAAAAAAACCAGGCTCCCTGGAAAAGCCTGCTGGCAACGACGGAGCCCCATTCCTGCAGGGGACCAGCAACCTGCTGCTGTGGAGCCACTGCCTCTTTACCCAGGCAGGGCTCTCCAGGATGCCCCCTCTGAGCTGCCTACTCCTCACATTCCCTGCCTGGCTCCAGGGCCCTGTATCGCGGGCCTCTCCTGCTTCTGCCCTTCTGGCTTTGCTCCTGATCTGGGCCTGGGGGCTTCCTTGCCCACTCCCAGTGACTGAACCCAGATTGTGCTGGGCAGTGGACTTCACCTGGTGCTCTGCCCTCCCATGGCTGCCAGGCAGGGTGCAGCCTCCTAGACCTGCCTGCAGAGCTGCAGCCCTGAGCAGCCAAGGTCACCTGGGGGACGCCCAGCATCGCTCCTATGTAACCACAGGGCCAGCCAAGGGGGATATTCTTTTTCCTTCCCTCATATGGGAATTTGGCCAGCAGGGTGATTTTATTCAGGTCACCTTCCCCAGCTCAGAAACCATCAGTCCCCTCCCCCTTTTTGCTTAGCCTGGTAGACATAAACCCCCAGCCTTCATGATCGCTGGCCCCCTCTCCCCTTTATCCCCCCACCTTAAGTATTTCTCAACCAATCTCATTCCTTTTCATTTCTTTCTGTGGCCTCAATCCTCCAGCCCTGCAAATCGACTCAACTCTCTCTGGCACGCAGCCTGTTCCTTCTTGTTATTAACAAGGCTGAGAAGAATGGATAATAAATAAGACCTTGCTTTCAAAGTGCTTTCACACCACCAACTCACAGTCTCCCACGACCCATACAAGGTAGATACTGACAGGCAGAGTTCAACTGACTTGTCTACAATCAGAAGCTAGTTAGCGGCGGAGCCAAGTCAGGAACTTATTTATGTCTTATCAGGAAATTGTCATTTTAAAAAATAAGTGAGTGGAAGAGACAATCCAGATTTTAAAATATGACTTTAATATACTTCAAGGGCAAGATTTATTCCCGCTCCTTAGTACTGTAATTAAAGTAAATGGAATAAGATTTGGTATTATATTTGCCTTTCAAACAACCTTTCAGAGGCGCCTGCATTGCTCTGCAAAAGGAAAGCCATCTGCTCATTTATTCACTGCATTAAACACCTGCTCATTCACTCAGTCAACAATTTTGTGTTGCACTCTCACTGTGTGCCACGCCCTGGGCTTGACACGAAGCATGCACTGGTGAGCAAAACAGACCCAGCCCTGTCCTCATGCACTTAGAGTCCAGTGGTGAAGTCAGGTGTTAAACCAAGATTCACACCAAGAGTGTATGATCAGATAGAACCACCATATGATCTAGCAATTCTACTCCTGGGTATATATTTGAAGAAAATGAAAACACTAATTCAAAAAGATATGTTCACCCCAATGTTCATAGCAGCACTATTTACAATAGCCAAGATATGGAGGCAACCTAAATGTCCATCAACAGATGAATGGATAAAGAAGATGTGGTACATATATACAATGGAATATTACTCAGCCATAAAAAAGAATGAAATTTTGCCATTAGCAACAACATGGATGGACTTGGAGGGTTAAATGCTTAGTGAAGTAAGTCTAACAGAGAAAGACAAATACTGTATGTTATCACTTATATGTGGAATCTAAAAAATAAAACAAATGACTATAATAAAACAGAAACAGACATAGCTACAGAGAACAAACTGGTGGTTACCAGCGGGAAAGGGTGGTGGGGAGAGGCAAGATAGCGGAAGGGGATTCAGAGGTACAACCTACTAGGTATAAAATAAATAAGACACAAGAATGTATTGTATAGCACAGGGAATATAACCAATATTTCACAATAATTTTAAATGGAGTATAATCTATAAAAATATTCAATCACTAAGTTATACACCTGAAACTAATATAATACTGTAAATAAACTATACTTCTCCAACACTATGTTAATCTGAGCATCCATCTGTGTCACCTGGACTACTGTAGTCACCTCCTAACTGGTCTTTCAGTTCCACCCTTGCCCCCATACAGTCTATGCTCCACACAGCAGTCAAGGTGCAAGTGTTCAGTTTGTGCACATGGAGTCTGACCTAGGTTCAGATCCAGGCTCAACCCTGCGGCAAGCCACTTAAACTCTCAGCTTCCCCATCTCTCAACCAGGAGTGATAAAACCGATGTCACAGTATTGTCTGAGCATTCGGTGGATGGTGTGTGTATCACAGTCAGCCTGACTCCTGATTCATAACAAGTGCTCCATAAATGTGAGTTATTGTCACACTGATCCTGGATTCCCTCAACGCCAGCTCTGCATGTTGAGCATCAGTTGATGGTGATGCTGGTCAGGAAACCAGGCGATGCCTAATTCATTATATGCCAGCCTCTCAGCTCTTCCCCAGCCTTTGGTGGCCATGAAACAACGATTCCAGCTCCATCACTTGGTGTCTGTTACTCATCAGGGATGCACACCGATACCATCACCTTGAAGCAGAATTTTGAAATGTGACATGCGATGGGGTTTGGACAGCAGTTTTCTCCACTCAGAATGAAACCACTTCCTGAAACACCTATTCCCCAGACCCAGAGGGGAGCCCTGACTTTTGCAGGCTCCAACTCTGAGGCAAGATTTTGCTGTCACATCCTGAAAGCAGTCTTGGCCAAGAGCGGAGGTGGGTGTAGCTGGGGCAGAGCCATTGCTCATGATGTTTGTGTCCTACTGTGGGATTTCCAAACCATGAAAACAAAACTCATCCTTTTGAAGACAACAGACCCAAACATCACAGGCTGGGGAACATCTGCCCTGTGGTGAGGGATTCCAAGCCGGGCCCCTATACTTACCTTTTCTTATCTTTTCTCACTCCTTCCCCTTCCTGGGAGGCAGGGTTCAGGCTGCAGAGTCTGACGGACGTGAGTCCAAGTCCCAGCTCTGCCACTCGCTTGGCTGTGTGACCTGGGGCAGCTGTGAATGCTCTTTGAACCCTGGTTTCTTCATCTATGAAATGGGAAATAATATAGGAGCTATGATCATTGCAAAAATAATAAACATCATATCTGAAAATGGAGAAGCAGCAGAGGACAGCAGTTAAGAGGCTGGGCTCTGGAGTTTGAATCCCCCTCTTCTGCTCACTCACTGACCCTTGAACAAGTTACTTAATCTCTCTGATTGTCTCACCTGTAAAATGGGAATAACAACTATTCTTCCCTCAATGACACACGGTGGGAACTAAAGGTGTTAACACAGGTAGAGCCTTGAACAGAGGCTGACACTTAGAAAGTGCCCACCCTCACGGGTTCGAGCCCCGGTCCGGGAAGATCCCACATGCCGAGGAGCGGCTGGGCCCGTGAGCCATGGCCGCTGAGCCTGCGCGTCCGGAGCCTGTGCTCCACAACGGGAGAGGCCACAACAGTGAGAGGCCCGCGTACCACAAAAAAAAAAAAAAAAAGAAAGAAAGTGCCCACCCTTGCTGTTATTTCCTTCCAATTCCTATAGCCCTCAGAGGACTGACTGTGTGAGGAGCTTGGGTGGAAGCGAGGTCCCGAGATCAGGTGTAAACCCGTCACTCTCTCCATTACAAGGAGGATTCATTGCAATCTTCCTTGTTTCCCAGAATGCTTTGCAACTAGTCGTGAACTGACTCCTGAAAAAGAGGCAGCTGGGACCTAACCGGGACAAGCCTTCCCGTGGATTTGTCAGGGAAGAAAAAGAGGCAGGCACAATCTCTAAAGGGACAATGGACTAACACAGACACGTGGAAGATTGACATTTCTCCTGCAGTGGTGCCAGGATGCGTGGTTTGGGGCCTCTCTGTGAGGTCCTGCTCTCTAGGACTACGTAGAAGCCGACGTCCAGCAGGGCAGGAAGGGACGTCTCATCGGAGGGCATGGTGAAGGCGGTTCCCTGCCCCGGATGGTCACTCGCTCATGACCACATCACAGGCACAGAAGGTGAGCCAGCCTACGGGTGGCCCAGTCATCTGGTGAAGAAGATGCACAGAGAGGACATGGCTGGATGCAGAGACAATACGCGGCCAGATGTTTTGTGGTACTACACACAGACGATAGGTTCCCCAGAACCCCGAGAACTGGGACATCGGCTGTCTGAGGCTGCTCTGGGGCCTCAGGACAGAAGGGACCTGGGGCAGGATCACTCTTGTTGGGGTCCTTCTCCCTATCCTCTATGTCATATCGGTGTCTTATCTGACAGACCTGGGTACGAAACTAGCTAAGTAGTCCTGGGGGCAAGACTTATCCTGTCTGAAGTTTAATTTCCCCCATCTGTCAAATGGAGTTGATGGTGGGACTGATGTCATAGGGTTGTTAGAATTAAACGACTCACTCCAGATACCTGCTGAGAACAACACCAGGCATGTTTTTTTGTATTCAGTAATTTGCTTCCGGTAAGTGGTTACTGCCATTGTGGTTGGAAATACTCTGACCGTTTTTATTCTCCAAATTCTACCACACATCCAGCCTCTCAATTCCCTGGCACAAAGTAGCGTCCAATCTCTCTATAAGCCTGAGAGAAATTGAGGGACTGCCCAGAGAGACAAAGCAAAGTAAAAGTGAGGTTCAACCTATGTTTACAGGGAACAGATAAGCAGATGCAGAAGAGGACTGGATTTGGTTATTTGTGTATTTATTCATTCATTCAATTATCCAACAACTATGTATTGAGGGACCGTTGTGTGTCAGGTCCTGTTCTGGCACCTAGGACCTGAAGTGAACAGGACAGAGATAGCCCCTGCCTTCAGGGAACTCACATTCTAGAGCAGTGCTGTCCGATAGAAATGTCATGTGAGCACATATGTGACTTTAATTTTCTTATAGCCACTTTTTTTAAAGGTGTAATGAATTTTAATGATATATTTTATTTAGCCCATTATATGCAAAACATAATCGTTTCAGTAAAATCAGTATTAAAAATTATTGATGAGATATTTTACACCCTTATTGTACTAGGTCTTCTAAACCCGGTGTGTATCTTACACATACAGCCATGTGAGTTCAGACTGGCGACATTTCAAGTGCTCAGCAGCCACGTGGCTAGTGGCTACCATATTGGACAGCACAGCTCTCAAGGGTGTGCGTGGAGTCAACTAGATTGGATCAGAAAGACTGTGAGGGCTTTGGGGAGAGGGGACCAAATTGCGTCCATCTCTGCACCCTCGTATCTAGCATCTAGCACAGATGGGGCATTTTTTCAACCTTAGGTGAATGAATGCAGGGTGGACGCAAAGACCACAGGCTCAGCGGACAAGGTTTCAACCCCACTGCCTGTGACATTAAGCAAGTTATTTAACCTCTCTGCCTCTTGATCTTATTTGGAAAATGGGAATTATAAAAGTTGCCCATTACAAGGTTTGGTGAGGATCAAATGAGTAAATAAACATACAGCACTCAGAACAGCGTTCACTGAGTAGAATGTCCTCAGTAACTCTTAGCTCTCACCATCATCAACATCACCATCTCACCTCTGTCTCATTTTACAGGTTTCATTTGCATCTTGTGCCTCTGCTCAGGCTCATCCCTCCCCCTAGGGCTGCCGTAACAAAGTGCCACAAAGCGGGTGGCTTAAAACAACAGAAATTTTTTCTCTCGCTTTACTCTTCTGGAGGCTGGAAGTCCAAGATTATCTTCAGGGCCATGTTCTCTCTAGAGGCTCAAGAGGGGAATCTGCCCCATGCCTTTTTCTCAGCTTCTGGTGTTGTCAGCACTCCTTGGCACTCCTTGGCTTGCAGATGCATCCCTCTAATCTCTGTCCCATCATCACGTGGCTTTCTCTTCTCTACGTATGACTGTCTCTGTGTCTCTTCTCTTAAGGACAACAGTCATATTGGATTAAGGGAAGCCCTACACCAGTACGACTTTGTCTTCATTTACATCTTGATGACATCTGCATAGACCCTATTTCCAAATAGGGTCACATTCACAGATACCAGGGGTTAGGACTTCAACATATCTTCGAGTGGGGGAGACACAATGCAACCCACAACCCAGGGTTACTGTGAGGATGAGACACTCCAGTGCATGTAAACACCCCGGCACCTCACCGATGCACCTCCTCTAGGTTACGTTGATCTCCTCTGCCAGCACCATGGCCACCAGTGTTCACCAGTGAGACTCAGACTCAAAGAAATTGCCAGCTGCGGGGCCTGTGACTTGAACTAAAAATGCATGAGAGTTAACTCACCCCAGGGTGAACTTTAGCCACTGGGGGACCAGAAATGGGAAAGAACCAGAAGAAATAGTTCCTCTCCATCCCCCACACAGGATACTGCAGGGACAGAGCTCCATAAGGCCTCTCGGAGGACGCCCAGCCCGATGGAGCAATCAGCCAGCTTGTTTCTGTTTCTCTCCACACACTCACCTCTTCCTCACGCCTGGTTCCCTGGGGCTGCACTCCTCCATAGTATCAGCACATAATCCCTCAGACTTGCTCTTGCAGAGAACCTGGACTAAGATACTCAACAGATGGCAGTTCCACTGCCTTTTATAGATTCAACCCAAATGATGTCACCTCCTCTAAGGAAGCTCTGATGTGCCCCCCACTCCTACCCCAGTTCCCCCATGCACCCATAGTGCTCTGAACACTCACATCTATATAGCACTGACCAGATCGTATTACCGTTACTTGCTTCCTTGCCTGTCCCCCCACCCAAACTGTGACTCCCTCCATGGACCACAGTCTCCTCATCACTGTGTCTCCAGCACTCAGCATCCAGATATTTGATAACTGAAGTTTTCTGATTCAGGTAGTTAGCATCTACTGACAAGATGTCATTGGGGACGGGGGGGTGTCTATAAAATTTCTCCATGCACTTCCACCCTGCCCCTGAGAAAATGCCTCTTCTTATCTGCTCACTGATGCTAAAAATGACTTTTCCAGGTGTCAAAAATCACAATGAGAGCTAAAATGTAAAATGCAAGTATCTCTGAGAGAGAAAACTTAAGTCCTTAAATTCTCACTAAAATGTAAATGACTGATAGGGTGTCTCTTTTCTGATAGAGGCAATAGAGATGACCAGCCAAAGGCATTTTATTCCACATAGAGACAACACCATGCATAGAGCAAAGAGCTTTGGGGTAGTCTGAGGGGTGAAAGGGTGAGGGGGTAATTTAACTCCCTCAAGTTAGCTCTGCCAATCTGCTATGGTGCCCCAAACTCCTACTCCCCCATGGACAGAGTCTGTGAGGCAGTAAAGGAAACTAGCCCAGAAGCCAGAAGACATGGTTTTTTCACTGGCGTTTCTGCCTGCTAGCTGTGGGATCTTGGACAAAGCTCTTACCCTGTCAATTCCTTTAAGCAGAAAATTAAGATGCTCACGATAATGAAGATGATGATTCAGCCTCTGGTTTTCTACAGGGCTATTGGGAAAATCAAATAAGTAACATATGGGAACCTGCTTCCCAATATGTGAAGCAATTTACGTATGTGAGGAACTTAACTATTTTTAAATTTGTAATAAAGACCTTCTTGACAGAAGGACCTTCTTTCACAGAAACTTAGAGCTCTCAGGGGAAAAGTCAAGAGGGAAAAATTCAGTTCTCTGTGTGAGTCTCAGCCACACACCTGTCGGTGCCCTCCTGCCTTTAGGGCTCGGGGTACCAGGAGTCCGCTGGCCTTTTAGGCTCAGGGGAGCTACCATCATCCCAGGCGCATCCTCACCCACACTCCCATCCCCTCTGAGCTCCCAGAGGAGGATCTGGCCTCCAGGCCTTTCTCCTGGCGTCACTGGGCTCTTCACTAAGGACTAAAACTCCACCTGAGTTGGAATGTATGAAGCACCCATGTCTAATCTCAGGTTTAACCCGAGGGGGTATTAGCTAGATAGGTTTTTTCCTTTTGGTGGAAAGTTTAAATGAAGAACCTTGAGAAATGAAAAGGACTACAAAGTGAAATCAGAAAAAAAAAAACAAAAAACCAACACTGCATGTCTCCTCCCAGGGATGTTTCTGTTCTCTCTAGGAAATATCCCAAAATGTAGACTTTTCCTCTCTAACTCTGGATTCATGCTCACACATCATCATTGCTGCCAAGTTTGGTTAGTCGAGATAGTTACACACCTCTGCCCAGGTGTGAGGGGAGAGAAAGCTGACCCTCCCCCGCCCCAACTTCAATGGAGATGTGTCACGTTATAAAAATGTCCCATCAAAGACCAGCATGTAGGATGGGATATACGTTACTGTGGCTATCTTTGGAAAACTTTATCTGCCACACTAGCTTTTTAATGAAAGAGGAAAAGCTTTCATTAAAAATTAATAAATCAGGATGAAAAATAAAATGTAAAGCAGTGAATTATTATAGGCATTAATATTGCAAGAAAACAGCATGCTTACCAAAGCATCCCCTTAGAATATAGTTTGACAATAATGATACTTATGATGCTTCTCAGCCTGTACAGTGTCTCCATATCATGATCTCCTTTAATCCAGCAATGCTGTCAAGCAGGGTCATCCACTTCCAAGTGAAGGAGACTGAGGTTGCCAGCAGTAGGTGCCTTGCCCTGGGTCACACACTGTGTAGTGACAATATTAGGGCTTGAACCCAGGGCTTCTGACTTAAATTGTGGTGTCCTTTCCACATCTGACCAGCATCCAGTTTGAGTGATATTTAGCCCCCATGTTAGAGAGCTCAAAAACCCAGAAGACATTTTCAGTCTAGTAATCGGGTTCTAGACGTGGCTTTGCTGCAGTTTGAGTCTGAGCAAATCACTTTCCTCTCTGAGACTCAGTCTCTGCATCTGTAAATGCAGAGGATTACACTGGAGGAGTTTAAACTTTTCTTTAAAAAAAAAAAATTTAAGCAACCACACCCTTTCCCCAAGTGAAACCTTATGAGGATTCCCCATTCTGTGCAACATCTATTCGAAAGCAAAGCTGCTCTACCCACCAGAGCTAAACATGCAGCCACCCCACGATACATCCATGAGTATACACTCGACAGAAATGCGTTCATTTGTCCACCACAAGACTTGTGCGTGGATGTTCATGGCAGCTATGTTCATAATACCAAAACCTGGAAACAACGCCAATGTTCATCAACAGTGGAAAAGATCAATAAATCGCGGTGTAGTCCTACAATACAATTCCACACAGCAACAAAAAAGGACAGGCTATTGTTACCCACAAAAACGTGGATGAATCTCTCAGATATAATTTTGAGCAAAAGAAGCCAGACACAAAAGAGGATAAATTTTGTAATTCCATTTACATGAAGTCCAAAAACAGGCAAGATCAAGTAGGTGGTTACCTCTGGGGAGGATACTGACTGGGAGGGGACAGCACAGAGCCTGCCCAGGGGTGCAGAAAGTATTCTTTATCTTGATATGGGTAGTGGCTACACAGATGTATACATGTATAAAAACTCATCATTATCTCTGAGATTCCTGTGCTTTATGTCATGTAAGTTGTACCTCAAAAGAAAAAAAGAAAAAAGTGGAATTCCTGTGGCTGAAGTAAACAAGAGGGTTTTGAAGATCCATTTGTTAAGCCTTCACCGCACAACCTCCATCCACCCACCCCTTGGGGGACTCTAAGGGACCACCAGACTAGACCATCTCTAAGGAAAGAGTAGATCCAATAGATTCACTTTGGGAATTCAGCTTCAGTCGCTTTACCTCAACATCATCTTACAGGTGACAGCTGCTTCAAACACCCAACTCCCCATTCCATGGGTTTTTTGTCTTACCCTTGTTCTTGTCACCTTCTTCCCCGCCCTGCAATGCCCAAAGCCCACGTGCTGCCCCCAGGACCAAAGCCCCCTATGTACCCTCCCTAAGTATCACCACCTCCTTCCAATTTCCCAAGAAGGCCCATGCAAGCTTACCTCCTGGTGGTGAGCACAAGCTCCCAGGTCCATCCACCAAGGTTCAATTCCTGGCTCCTCTACTTGTAGCTGGATGTGCTTTTTCTTTATGCACTGAGGTTGTTAACTGTACAGACCTCATTAAATTGTTAGGAGAACGAATGAAGATAGTACATGGAGAGGACTTAGCACAGTGTCTAATCCATCCTGGGCGCTCAGTAAGTGTTAGTTACTCTTCTGATCACTGTTGTCTATTCTTCGGTTCTGTCATTGCTTGTTCATGACTAGAGAATATGCAGCTTTAAAATATTAAAATAGTCTTGTGAAATATTTACCACATGCTTTGTTGGACTTCATCCTCACAGCCTAGACTCCTTTTGAGTAGACTGAGGTTAGGTTTCCAAAGTCACACAACTGGTCAATCAGTGATGGAGTCAAGACTCAAACCCACTCCCTCCTGACCCCGAAGTCCATCACAGTCTGAGCTCTTGGCTACTTGCTTAGTGAACCATGTAACGGAGTTGACAGAGAAGGTACCCAATCCTAAAAGAGTGAATATATACTGGGCCCACTGGTGTGATAGAGTTTGGAATCAAACGAATCCAGGTTCTAATCCTGGGCTGTGTGGTTTACCAGCTGTATGAACTTGCTCTAATTGTTTTATTTCTCCCTGCCTCAATTAGCTCATTTGTAAACTGAGACACAGTAGTGGAATGCATTAAATGAGATTCCTAACTCTAGCCAAAAGGAAAGAAAAGTTAACCCTGGGGATTTCCATCATCATGGGATACTGAGGAGGAGTGATTTGGGGAAGAGACCCTATATTTCATCCATGTTCACCCAGTTCAGAACAGAACCACTTATCTAGGGACAACCCCTCCTAAGACTAGGGAGTTTTTTAACGATCAAATGATTCTGAAGTACGAAATGTTAACTTTGTTTGTGGTTCTGGTCTTTTTTCCTCTGTTGTTAGTTTTAAAAAACAGTTACTAAAAACTAACGTCCCCTCTCAGTCTATCTTCCTCTTCCTGTTTCCAAGACAGAGCGTATAATAGGCAGTTTTGGTTTTCAAATAGCCCATCTTTCTAATTCTCTGTTCCTGATTTATCAGCCATGATATTACTTTCATTCTACTCTAAAGGGACAGCTATGCCTTGAGAGGAATTAGGGTGACATCCTAGACCCCATGATTTTAGGACTTCAGGTTGCTGTGAGAAACAGGTGGCTGGAACAGTGACTCAGAGTCAGACGGGAAGGATTTGGCAATAAACATGGGTTTAAAAGGTCTGACATTCATACACACTTACTTCATAACTTTTCATCACCCCCAAGAGGTAAGTGGGGCAATCATGCTCTGTCACTCACTTCCACACAAATTACTGAGGCTGCAGTAATTTGTGCAGTAATCTTTCCCCTGTAGCATTGCCTTTGATGGCCAATGGATCAAGACTGCACCTCTCCAGGCCTGAAAGAACATAATCATGTGAAGTGGGCATATTCAAGCAGCTGGCGGGAGTCCAGTCTACCTGGAAGGGCATTTGGCCATCAGAATTGAGTCTTTAAAAGGCTGATACCCAATAACTCCAATTATACCCAATTTATTAAGGAGCCTCAGATTGCCAGGGTTTCAAACACAAACATCACCAATTGTGTGCTCTCAAACCCTGTTTAACAATGCTTAAAATCATCTTGGTCCAACTGTATTACAGGTTATTCAGTCCCATTTTATTTCTATAGAACTCTGTAGAATTGGATGTTTTTGCTGAGGGAGGATCAGAGTGTTATAATGATCAGATGTCAATGAGAAGTAAACCCCCCAAAGGATCTAGAAACCTGGGAAGAGAAAACAGAAAGGTTAGAAGGGGAGGCTAAGAAGCGACAAGAATTTCCAGAAGGAGTTCAATTAATGCTGTCATCCTGGGTGAGGAGCAGTCCTGGGCTGGCCCCCTTCTCAGGACAGCAGAAGGAAGGCAGGCAGTGGTTAGGAACACTCTCCCTGACCTGGGGTGTGATTCCCAGCTATGCCATTTGGACAAGTTACTTAATTTTCCTTGGCCTCAGTTTCCTCATCCATTATATGAGAGATGATAATAACATGTACAACGTTTGGGATGCTATGGGGATTAAAAGAGGTATCACCACTGCAGTGCCTGGTACACTGAGGGATTTCAACAAACGGTAGCCACTGTTATTATCTGCACCCTGAAATTTCTGAATAATTAATCGTGATTGTGAGCACTTGAATGATTCTGTGTATTGCAATTTACACAGAGAGAGTGCTTTATTGTTTAAAAGCACATCTTTGCAATACAAATTGAAACGTGTCACCATCTATCACCTATCAAATTGGCAAATAATACTGCCCGATGTTGGTGAGAATGTGGGGAAATAGGCCTTTGCTGTTGATGGGAAGAGCTTTTTGCCACTATGTATCAGGTCCCTTAAATGTGTCCACGCTGGGACCAAGCAGGATGAGGAGAGAAGTCATGTGGTAGCAAAGGGTTGTGCAGAGATGGGAGCAGGATGTCTGGTGGAGGCGAAATGTAGAATCTAGGACGGATCCATGGAATTCACAGACATTCACAGAATGTCCCAGATATTCCAGGGAAGAGATATAAAATGTGTGGTCAAGCAAATCAACTCTCACGAGATTGCTGTTTGGGTGTTAGAGAGAATACTAACCCTTTAAGACTGGAGACACACAAAGAATATATCTCCAGCTGCCAACAGCACATCCCCACCTGGAGGTGTCACAGGCATCTTCGCCTCAGCACACCCATGTTGGACCAACTGACTGCCCACACTCCCCACACTCCCCACCCAAAACTAGCATTCCAGTCTCTACAAACAATGTAAAAGATACCACAACTTACTGGTTGTTCAAGCCCCAACCTGAGTGGTCATCCTCGATTTCTGCTTTCCCTTCACCTAGTACCACCACCAGCACGACCCCAAATGCCTACGTCTAATCGCTCAACAGGTCCTGTTTCTTCTGCTTCCAAAATATATCCTGAATCCAGTGAGTTCTCTCAGTCTCCATGGCTACTGTCTGATCTAGACCACCATTATTTCCCACCTGGACAAGGCTTGTTGATTATCTTACTTCTACTCTTAATCCCTCCAAGTCATTCTCCAGGTAACAGCCTGGATGCTCTTTTAAAAATATAAACCAGATTGAGTCACTGGATTGCCCAGATGAAAACTCATCAATTTCATGTTGTCAACCTCTTCATCTTTGTCTACCATCCATCTTCCCCTCACCCACCACCCTGCAGACACACACGCCTTCCCTCTGTACCTCGAACAGTGCACACTCATGGCCTTTGCCCCTTGCTCTTCCTTTGGCCCAGAAGGCTCCGTTGGTGGCTCTTCTCATCCTTCAGTCTCTCCTCAAAGAGGTCTTCCCTTGCTAGACCAGCCAAAAGAGCCCCTCTAGTCATTATCACAATACCTTGTTCAATTTCCTTCACAGGACTTATCTCCAGCTGAAATTCTTTTATTTGTTGACTTGTACATTATGTTCCCCACCATCTCATACCACTAGAATGTGAGCTCTGTGAGGGCAGAAGCCTGCTTACCTCGTTCATTGTTTATCCTCAGCAACCAGTGCATGGGAAGTGGTCAATAATTAGTGGGAAAACAAATCAGTGAATGAACATCGGGGTCACGCAAAGTTGTGGCACCTCCCACTCCAGGGTCCTCTGGTCATTTATGACTTTGATGTTGGTGGTGGGAGAAAGGGGCAGAGTAGTGACAAAATAACAGGTCACCAGTTCTGATGGAAGGACAAGAATGAGTGCTTCTTGTTTAACCAAGGGGAAAACCAGAGGAGGGCTCAGGATTTGGCCCAGGTTACAGAGCAAGTTGACAGCAGGAGGAGAAGCTAAAGTTTCTGGATCCTTGGCAATTGTCCTGTTGATTGCTCCAGGTGTGTCTTGTCACTATCTCTTCGGGGTAGTTCACAATGGTATACAATGGGTGAGAATTAACTCCATCCCATAGGAAATTCTCTTGGGACATCTGGTCACAAGATATGTAGGAAGTTGATTAATGAATAAACATTCAAATGATGAAATGCTGAAACATCACTAGCTGGTACGTGGCACAACAGAGATCCCTTACCTTAGTATTCAAGGCACACCACTCCTCAGCTTCTTTCCAGATCTGGGGTCTCTTTTGACCTCGATTTCCCCATCAATGGGAAATACAATGAGAAGCAAATAATCAGCAAAGTCCCTTCCAGCCCTGATATTTTAGAATGCTTCCCTTGGACATGAGTTCCTTCCTCAAGCCAAACCGATTTACTTATTGTACTTCCTGTCCCCTACCTATATGTAAACTTAAAAATATTCACTTTTGTCTATACTGGCCCTCTATTAATAATGCTGCCATGTCCTCTCTGCTCTTTGAAATACTGTGTAGCCTTCAATGATCAATAGAATTTCTACTCCCACTCTTCTTTCTTATTTGTCCCAGCTGAAAATATTTTCCTTTTATAATCTCTTGGGCATTTATTGTCGAACCCAGGAGTTGGTAAACTATAGCCTGCAGGCCAAATCCAGGTCATGGGCCAAATCTGTTTGTTTTGTAAATAAAGTTTTATTGGAACACAGCCATCCAATTCATTTGTATATTGTCTGTGGCTGCTCTTGATACACTACAAGACAGGGTTGAGTATTTGTAACAGAAACAGTATGGCTCACAAAGCCTAAATGTTTACTGTCTGGCTCTTTACCAAAAAAAAAATGTTTGCCAACTCCTGGCTAATCCATGCTTCTCAAACTTGAGTACACAAAGATCCAGGCTGGGATCCACATATAAGATATCCAAAGTCACTGGTCAACCCAGGGTATCTTCTTGGAGCATCGATTTTACTAGAAGACTGGGGAGAAAAAATGGTTAATAGAATGTAAATGTGGACATTAAAGCAAACATATTTATATTAAGAAGTGGATTCCAGCATTTGCATGAAATAGTATGTGAAAATCCCAAATGTGACCAAAATTCCAAGCTTGGGAAGGGCTGCTTCACATTGTTGCTGCTCCTCCACTGTTACAAACATTTTGGTATAAAATTTGGGGAGGTACCCATCAATGCCATTTAATTTGAGGTGAAAGTACGTATCTTATATGGTTTTGTATCCTCACCACTTCTGACACAGTGCTTGACTATAACAACTCCAGAAGGTCTGAAGTCATTTATCTAGATAAATCCTAAAAGGTCCTCACCTGTCAGGATGGTTAATGGGGTCCTGCCTAATGGCAGAGGAATGGACCAGAGGACTTGACCAGCAGAAGTCTCCTTCGCTATGGGGGCAGGGCAAGGGGCTTATTAGTGCTTTGGCTGTCTCTATGGCAACAAAAAATCTAATAACATTCCGTTACCTTAACAATATTTGCAACAATACCATCACCAATCCAAACCACTAATTAGTTCCTTCCTGAGCTGAAGGCAGAACCTATCTTATGATGACCTAGTTGCTTTTTGTTTATATTTGCCTTTTCTTTTCCTATTTATTTATTTTGGAGGAGAAGGGAGAGGAGATACTAGAAGGCTTACTCCAGCCCTGGCTGCCAACACCACCACTGTTAGCGTTCCCGCCAACCATTCCCCTCACCCCAAAGAATCTCTCTCTGACTTCTAAGGGCAGAATAATCCCTATTACATAAAATGGTGACCACTCAGTTTGTTGTTGAATGTTGTTGCTTAACTTTGTTTTGTTTCTTAAAGGCAGATGTCCCTAGGAAAGGATAACACATAAAGTTACTAACCTTTTAGAATCGGGAGGTGTTTTGGGCACTGGGCGAGGGGGTAGAAAGGCAGCCAGACTCCCAGTCAGGGTGGAAAGATCTGAGGTCAACCCCAATTCTGCCACTGACCTGCTGGGCCAACTACTTGCCATTATTGCACCTTCAGTTTTCTTTCTTGTAATGTGAAAGTTGAGAGCTGGGTAATCCCAAGGAGCGTTTTCAGTTGTAAGATCCTACAGTTCAAGGCAGCATAATTAATAGAAAGATTAAGGTCATGACCACATGGATAGGCCTCGAAAACATAAAGCAAACTGGAAAAGGTTAGTGGCAGAATGACATGTACTGTATGATACCACTCTAACTTTTTAATTTAATTTTTGGAATAGGTAACATAGTACATCCACACTGTTCAAAAAAATCTTTAAGGAATTCATTTAAATATGTTCCTTCCCTCCTCTCACCCCTCTTTCCTCCCACATGCAAAATTGTTTTTAGTTTTTTGTATGTAAAGTTTCAGACTTTCTTTATGCACATACAAAAACCAGTGGATAAGCAGGCTCATTTTCCCCTTTGCTGCACAAAATGTAGCATACTATACACATTCTTCTGCACTTTTTTTGTCTTCACTTAATATGTATTGGAGAAATTTCCATGTTAGCAGAGGGAGTGTCTTCATTCTTTTTTAGAACTGCAGAGGATTCCATAAAGGGGATGCCCCACAATTTATTCAACCAGTCACCTATTGATAGATATGTGGATTTTTTCTAGTCTTTTTTATTACAAGCAATACTTCAATGAATAACCTTAAACACATGTGCTTTCGAACAAGCACAAATGTATCTAAAGGCAAATTCCCAGAAATGGAATTTCCTTTGTAATTTTCTGCATTTGCTTTTATGATAGAGATTGTCAAATTACCATTTATAGAGATTATACCAATTCACTCATGCACGATCAGTCTGAGTGCCCCTTTCCCCACAACCTCTTCTATGCACTGTTTTACCAAATCTTGAGTGCCTGTACTGACCAACTTGACAGGTTTAAAAAATATCTCAATGTGATTTAATTTGTATTGCTCTTTTTTTTTTGTATTGCTCTTTTGATGAATGAGACAGTGACTCTCTTCTTAATAGCCATTTGTATTTCTTTCTGTGTAAATAAATACTTTTAGCCCTTTTTCATATACGTAAAATTTTAAAACACACCATACTATATAATATTTATGGCCATGGACATACATAATGTCCATACATAATGAAGGACTGAAGTGACATTCACTAAGGTCAGTTGACAGGAAGGCAGGGGGATGAGACAAGGGAGGGACACAAAGGGAGCTCCACTAAGTGCGTGACATTTTTTTTCTTTTAAAAGAAGATATTAAGCAAGCATGGCAAAATGAAAATAGAAGAGGAAGAAAGGAAGGAAGGAAGGGAGGGAGGGAGATAAGGAGGGAGGAGAGAGGGTGGGAGGGAGGGAAGGAAGGAAGGAAGGAGAAAATAAAGTTTAAAATCAATGAACCTGAACTTGAATCTCAGCCCCACCACACATGCTCTGTGGTCTTTGACATTTCTCCTAATCTCTCTGTGTGGCTCTCTGTGTGGCTCCACTATCTGTTTTTCCTTTGGGTTTCCCAAGGAGTATTCTTGAAGACACCACTGAAACGGTTTCAACCCCTCTAATGCCTTTTCCAAATGTCCTGCCCAGAGCTGCCTCTGTTGGAATGATTTGTGTGACTGGGTGAGAGAAGCCAGGGTGTGGTCAGGGAAGTTTCCTTCCTGGAAACTTCCTGGAAACAGGGTGAGGGGGGAGTTTCCTCTGTGTCACAACCTCTGTTCCCAAGAGCTGTGACCTCTGTTAACACTTGATGAGACTCTGGCTTCCCACTGTGCAGCACCTAGAAGGTCCAAGCCCAACACATAACTTCTCTGGGAACAAACTGTGAGCAAGAATCTCCCCACCATCCCTCTCCAGGACGACATGTGGGAGAATTACAACCACGCTTTACCTGAAATCTATAACCACCTGTGGCCTCAGAAGTGGCCATTTCCTCCCTCTGGCCTTAGTTTGCATTACCTCAACAGGCAGCAAACTACCACCCACTCCCCAAGGCAGTGGTACTTCAGCCTCTTATTGCCTCATTCCCCCAGAGAGAACCAGGAAATATATTCCTTTGCTATAAACTCCTTTTATCAGAACAGGGAAGATTACAGCAGTAAACTTTGTTTTTTGGGGGGGGAAATTATGCTCAGAGTCTGAGACTGTCTTGTCAATATTTAACACAGGTTCACTGCAGGAATTATAATAATTTCACAAGTTAATAGCATACAGGATAATATCTCTTAATAAGCCAATAAAGAAATAACATACTCCAAACCAACAATAGATTAATTACACTATTGTTCCAGGCAAGAGGAGATAAAAGGAATGAAGTCCCAATTTAACTGAGGTGTGCCTTTCTACATGAGTTGGTTCCTGGGAGAGTCAGCTTAACCAACTGAGAGCCTGACATCCAGCTACCAGCAAAACGCAAGTTCCCTGTTGCTGGAGCACGTTGCTGGGGAACCAAGACGCCGGTGTTGACAAGCAAGATGATCTCCTGAGAGAGGCGCTGCATCACTTTCCCCACTGCCCTTACCCTGTTACCCACACAGTAACTAATGCCCCAAGGTCTTCAGAGAGCTGCTTAGGTCAGCAAAGGGTCACCCTGCCCAGACCTAAACTCTCAGATTGTCCTCACAAACTCTGGGTATTTATAGTCTAAAGGTCCCCTGGCCATAGATGCTTCTTCATATTATTGCTAAGCCCCCAGCGGCGCCCCTGGGCAGCTGAGCTACTGAGGGCTTATCGGCAGCCACAGATGTCAAGAGATGTCATCCTGATGCAGCTTCTTCATATCAAAACAACTTTACTTATAAAGACAACTTCATTCTTATATCAAAACAAACTTCCCTCTTAAAAACAATTTCATTTTTGTCATAAGCAAGTGGATTTGATATCATATCAAACCACCGCACAACAACTTTGCACACTCCTTCTTTTTCTTTTATAAATTTATTTATTTATTTTTGGCTGTGTTGGGTCTTCGTTGCTGTGTGCAGGCTTTCTCTAGTTGCAGTGAGTGGGGGTTACTCTTCGTTGCGGTGCACGGGCTTCTCATTTTCGTGGCTTCTGTTGCTGCAGAGCACGGGCTCTAGGCACGCGGGCTTCAGTAGTTGTGGCACGTGGGCTCAGTAGTTGTGGCTTGCAGGCTCTAGAGCTCAGGCTCAGTAGTTGTGGCGCACGGGCTTAGATGCTCCGCAGCACGTGGGATCTTCCTGGGCCAGGGCTCGAACCCGTGTCCTTTGCATTGGCAGGCGGATTCTTAACCACTGTGCCACCAAGGAAGCCCCTGCACAGTCCTTCTTACACCTTTGGATTATTTCCTGAGTTGAATTGGTTTCTGTTCTTTTCCATTATTTTGATCCTAAAACAATAGAAAACTAGAAAGAAAAGAATAGAGGAAGGAGAGAGAAAGGAGGATGGCAAAGAGACAGAAAGAAAGAAAAAGACTCGAAACAGACAGCATCTTAGCAAAATAACTTACTGGACTCTGTGGAGAGGAAGATCCAGAAATGATGTAAAGGTCTGTGTCACACACCACCAGGTCCTTGATTAGTGGCTGAGCCCACTATAGGAGCCAATGACAGCATTCAGAGCCAATGCCATGAGCTGGGTGAGCCAAAGTCATGCCTGCTCTGATAACATCTGGAAGCTTCACCAAGCCAGCAAAGAAAACATCCTTCAATTATTGGTAGCAATGAACCAATGACAACCCATCAATCAACAAATTAAAATCATGGGGCTTCCCTGGTGGCGCAGTGGTTCAGAGTCCACCTGCCGATGCAGGGGACATGGGTTCGTGCCCCAGTCTGGGAAGATCCCACATGCCGCGGAGCGGCTGGGCCCGTGGGCGTCCAGAGCCTGTGCTCCACAACAGGAGAGGCCACAACAGTGAGAGGCCTGCATACAGCAAAAAAAAAAAAAAAAAAAAATCATGGGGCAAGGTATTAACAGTTATTCATGGCAGGTGAAGATTACTTCCTCCTTGGCAGAACAGATCAGAATCAGAAAGGAAACTGTAAGACACACAAAGTTTAACTTTCTGGCATTTGTTAAGTATTTCTTTCTTCTTTGAGCAACCTGGATTCCATGAAGCCAAGAACCTCTTTCTGTCGCGTCCCTCACAGGCCTGCTAACACATTTATGGCCAATGCCTCATCTCTCTTCCCTTTATCCAAAATTCCCTTTCACTGGCCTCATTTCCCATAGCTCTTTGCTGAGAGAAAATTACCTGCTCTGAGAAGCCAATCCTTCCAAAGTGATACTGGATGCAGTGGTAGACAGAGTAATAACTCTCCAAAGATATTCATGACTTAACCCCAGAATCTTTCAATTTTTCCAGGGGATTTCATGAGTGGGATTAAGGTTAAGGACCTTGAGATGGGAGGAGTAGCCTGGATTATCCAGGTGAACCTAATCTAATTACTTGGCTCCTTAAAGATGGAGAACCTTTCTGTGCTGGGTCAGAAAGATGAGAGGGAAGAAGAGTTGCTGACTTTCAAGATGGAGGAAGTGGACACAAATCAAGGAATGTGAGTGGCTCTAGAAGCTGGGAATAGTCCTCAATGACAGCCAGCAAGGAAACAGCATCTCAGTCCTACAACCATAAGGAACTGAATTTTGCAAACAATCCAAATGTGCAAGGAAACAGATCCTTCCCCTAGAACCTCCAGTAATGAACACAGCTCTACTGACACCTTGATTTTACCCTGCTGAGACCCATGTCAAAAGTCTGACCTACAGAACTGTAAGGTAATAAATTGGTGTTGTTTAAACCACTATATTTGTGGAAGTTATTTTCTAGCAATAGAAAACTAATACAGATGTTAATATGAGACTCAGTCAGCAGGCCTTTCAGTTAGTTTGCTTTCTGAAGCAACTATTATGGTACCAGATAACAAAAAAAAATCTCTCACATATTTTGGAACAGGCAGATTGTTTTACAATTCATGGCCAGATGTGTCATCCACTTTGTTCATTCACCTGTTCCATAAATATTTATGGAATGCCAACTAGGTACCAGGTACATATTTCCCTACACATATGGCTCCTTCTAGATCATGTCTACTACAGAAGCGGATCCAGTCAGCAAGTCAATCAACAAATGTTCATTGAGCATCTACTGTGTATTAGGTACAAGGGCAACTCAATCAAGATGGTGGATGGACCTAGAGTCTGTCATACAGAGTGAAGTAAGTCAGAAAGAGAAAAACAAATACCATGTGCTAACACATATATATGGAATCTAAGGGGAAAAGAAAAAAGGTCATGAAGAACCTAGGGGCAAGACAGGAATAAAGACACAGACCTACTAGAGAAGGGACTTGAGGATATGGGGAGGGGGAAGGCAGAGCTGTGACAAAGTGAGAGAGTGGCATGGACATATATACACTACCAAATGTAAAATTGATAGCTAGTGGGAAGGAGCCGCATAGCACAGGGAGATGAGCTTTGTGCTTTGTGACCACCTAGAGTGGTGGGATAGGGAGGGTGGGAGGGAGGGAGATGCAAGAGGGAAGAGATATGGGAACATATGTATATGTATAAATGATTCACTTTGTTATAAAGCAGAAACTAACACACCATTGTAAAGCAATTATACTCCAATAAAGATGTTAAAAAAAAAATTCACTGAAAGGGTCTTTTAGCTGCCTGGGAAGGCTGGGAAGCCTGAGATTCCAAATTGTGCAGTGGAATATTGGAATAGACAGCCTCTGAGCCTGTCTACACAAGAGCTAGGAGGTATTACTGTCACCCTTTTACATATGCAAAAACTGAGGCTCAGAGAGATTAACGGCCAAATCACACTGCCCCTACGTGATGGAGCTGGAATTTAAAAAATTTTTTTAATTATAGTAAAACACAAATAACATAAAATTTCCTATCTTTTACCATTTTTAAGTATACAGTTCAGTAGTATTAAGTACATGCACATCACTGTGCAGCCAATCTCCAGAACTCTTTTCATCTTGCAAAACTGAAACTCCATGCCCATTAAACAGCTCCCCATTCCCACTTCTTCCTAGCCCTTGGCAACCACCGTTCTACTTTCCGTCTCTCTGAATCTGACTATTTTAGGTACCTCATGTAAGTGGAACTTGAAAGTATTTGTTTTTTTGTATCTGGCTTATTGCACTTAGCATAATACCCACAAGGGTCATCCATATTGTATCATGTGTCAGAATTTCCTTCCTTTTTCAAGTCTGAATGATATTCCATTGTATTTATATACTACATTTTGTTTATCCACTCATCCATGAATGGGTTGCTTCCATTTTGTGGTTATTGTGAATAATGTTGCTAATGAACATGGACATACAAATATCTCTTCGAGACCCCACTTTCACTTCTTTTGGATATATACCAATGGAGCTGGAATTTGAACATAGATCTCTCTGACTCTGCTGTTCATTCTCTCCCAGGGTGCCACACACCCTAGGGTGAAGTTATGGCTTTCTGTGCTGTAGCTAACCAGATACACGAAATTTTTTGCTCACAGTCCATTCTACATAGAGCTAATTTTATTCTAGGATTTTCCAGTGATTAAAATACAACCAGATATTCTGCACTAAGAACAAAACTCAAACTCCTTGACCCTATATGATCTGGCCCCTGCCTTTATGTCTAACCTCATTTCCAACCCCTTGCTATACTTTAGTCATACTGTCTCTGTTTCTACTCTTCAAACACAAAGAGCTGTTCCTACCTCAGGGTCTTTGCATTTGCTGTACATTCTCCCTGGTACTTTGCATAACTGGCTCCTTCTTATCATTCAGGTCTCAGCTCAAACGTGACCTCTTCAAAGAGACCTTCCCCCACCACACTTTATAAAGTAGCACCTCCTATCACTATCTAGCACACTGTTCTCCTTTATTTTCTTCATAACTATCTAAAATTTATTTTGTTGTTGTTGTTTTCTCGTTTATTATCTATCTCCCTCACAAGAATGTATTTTCCACACAGAGATCTTATCTATCTTATTCCTCCAGTATCCCCAGAGCATAGAACCATACCTGGTACATAACAGATGCTTATCAAATATTTGTTGAATAAAGGAATGTATAAGGAACTTCACTGCAGTATTGTTTATCATATCCAAAAAATGGAAACAGTGTGATTTGAATCAAACTGATTTTATAATTTATCACCTAGTACAGGTCACTTAGAGAATGAAAGAGGTTATTGTTAATAATTATACCAGATCTACAGGCAAAACCAGGACTGCATGACGGCTCTACCTTAATCATTTATTCCAATCCCCTCAATTTGCAGATGAGGACACTTAGGAGACCCAGAGAGGGAAGGTGACTTGATGAAGGTTGCACAGCAAGTTAGGTGCAGAGGTGGAAAAAGCCTCAACTGCTGACACTCAGGCTGGGGCCCTTGATTCTTCACTGCTTGGTTGCTCTGAAGCTCAGCAAAACATGCCCCCCGTCTGCCACTGTGCCCTCACATGACTCTGGGAGAAAACAGAGCTCATTTTTCTGTCCCAAGAAGCATGCGGTTTGGAGCTCTTCTCTTTCTCTTACTTTTTCTTCCTCCTTTTTGTGGTCGTATACTGGGCTGGCTGGAGGGGAAGCACTTAGGTATCGTGGGATTTCACTGCTGTTCCATTACATAAGTGAAAGCCCTACCAAGGGGAGAATGAAATGCAAAGCAGGGCCATCTGACCACTTCCTTGGCTGGTCCCGGGACTGCCTGGGTCACCCCAGGGCTTGGTTCTGGGAAATGCTCATTCAGTACATTCCTCATCCAACAACTATTTCTTGAGCATCTTCTAGGTTCCAGGCTATACTGTGCTATACACATGGTATATAAGAATGGATCAGTGCTTCCTGGTAGCACAGTGGTTAAGAATCTGCCTGCCAAGGCAGGGGACAGGGGTTTGAGCCCTGGTCCAGGAAGATCCCACATGCCCCGGAGCAACTAAGCCCGTGCACCACAACTACCGAGCCTGCGCTCTAGAGCCCGCGAGCCACAACTACTGAAGCCCATGCGCCACAACTACTAAGCCCGTGCGCCTAGAGCCCGTGCTCTGCAACAAGAGAAGCCACCACAGTGAGAAGCCTGTGCACCGCAATGAAGCGTAGCCCACGCTCACCACAACTAGAGAAAGCCCACACGCAGCAACAAAGACCCAACACAGCCAAAAATAAAATAAATAAATAAAAATAAATAAATAAAAAAGATTGTCTCCTATAAGTTGTGCTCAGAGATAGATACCAACACATGTACCCAACCCCAACAACACAAACACTAAATGAAAAAAAAAAAAAGAATGGATCAGCAAGACATGATCGCTGCCCTCAGGGGAGCCCATTATGGAAAAGGGTGAGCGTTGGATAATAAACATATACAGACAAATTAATTACAGACATGGTTAGTTCTAGAAAGGAAATAGAGCACTCTGATGAACAGTAATAACAGCTGACACCTACTGAAGTCATCTTTGTCTCTACCACTTTGTGAGATAAATATTATTATGATCTTCATCTTATACATGTGGAAATAGAAGCACAAGGAGTTTGGGTGACTGCCCAAGGTCACACAGCTGGTATGTGTCAGAGCTGAACTTGAACCCCAGAGACTTGCTTCAGAGCCTGAGTCCTTAACCACAAGCTATCTTGGGCAGGAGAGGGTCAAAGGGGAGTGCGTGCTTTCAATAGGGCAGGGAAGGCCTTTCTGGGGAAGTGGCATATAAGCTGAGATGAACTGTAGGAAGAACTGGCAGAAGAATGTTCTAGGCAGAAAAAGGAACATGTGGACAAAGGTGGGAAAGAGGCTGGTGTGTTCTATAATCCGTCAGAAGGCCTGGGAGATTGAGGCGGAGGGTGGATTTTATTCTAGATGCCCCTCACAAAGTGTCTTTGCAGACGTATATTTTCTCATTTGATCAAACAGCCTGGTCAGGCCAGTCGAGCAAGTGTTATCATCCATGTTTTACAGAACACTGTACATCGTTTCTGGGAACTTGGGGTCAGAGGTGGTCCCAAGACTTTGAACTTGTGTCAAGTGCTCTTTCTACTCAACCTCCCTGCTGAGGCCCCAGCTGGCCCTTCGCTGCCCCTATCGTCGCTTAACTATAATGTACCCCTGTCTCCCCAGCACCTCCTCCTCCTCTCACCTCAGAATTTACCTCTTCAGCTGCCTTAACACCTTAATTTCTAGGGGAATCGGATAAACACATCTGTTCTTATCTGCTAATGGGGAATAAAGCCCTGTAGAAACCTAGAGTGAACTTGTTTTTCTATCCCTATGAAAACCTACGACAGCCTTCCTTTCTTCCAGTCATAAGATCAGCCTCCAGCTATTAGCATTCCCTTTCTGCCAAAGTGGCCATCATTATATGATTCATGGCCTGTTCCCAGAGGAGCCTGGCAGAGTTTGAGCCTTGGGCCTTTGGTTAACAGGTAGCAGCTGACAGATGCCAATAATCCAAGCATTGTTCAGATCAGCTAATTCCTTGTCTGTGAATGTGATTGCATCCACCCTCAGAAACCATCCCCAGGAGATGGGGCAGCAGGGCTGTGGGTTCCTCATCATGTCACACAAGCTGTCCAAGTCCCAAACACTGCCTTCCTCTCCACCTCAGCCTGTCCTGCTTCCTACCTTGACCTTGGGGCCCAGACGCACCAGACGTTTCTCACCATGAACTCTGAGCACACACCACGAGCTTTCACACCTGCGTGCCGCTCGCTCTGCTTGTGACACCCTCCCCACCTTCTTTACCGGTTCCCCCCTTGGCCTGAATACAACCCAGATACTGCACCTCGCTGAGCCTTACACTCCCGTTCTCCGTGCTTCCAATCTTAATGAACAGCATTCTTTGAGTACCTGTCATACACCACACACTCTGTTAAGCTCGTTACACGGATCATCCCAATATGAGAGCATTTTAAAGGGCAGATTCTCTCATCCTACTATTTTACCACTGAAGAAACTGAATCATAGTAACGCACCCACGGCTGAGCAGAAAGTGCTGCAGGTGGGATACGACCCAGGCAGACTGCGTTCAGGATCTGTATCATCACCATCTCCTGTGTTCACCATCACAACTAACACTTATTGGGCACTTACAGTATACCTCCATAGCTCTAAGACATTGGCGTACACCTTCTCATTGAACTTTCATAAGTCCTATAAAATTTAGTCACTACAAGGTAGGTGTTATTATGTCCATTTTAAAGGTGAGAAAACTGAGGCCTAGAGTGTTTTCATTATTTAGCTAAACCACACATTGAGCAGAATGCATGGAATACACCACCACGCCCTGAAACTGCCCAGATTAGCTGAGGCTGCTAGTGATCTACCCAACACCCCTTCTCCTCCTCTTTTGTAATATCAAAGGCTGTATTGTCAGAGATAACAATGTGTCCAGTTTAAGAAAAAAAATAAGATAAACAAAACCTCTCCCAGACCCCTCTGCAGATAGGGTAGCTTAGGAAACATAAGTCAATACCTTGGTGTGGGGCTTCCAGGAAATCATTCAAAGAGGGTATACTCTGCTATTATGTACCATTTGCATTTGGCCCTTTCTCCTTCTTCCTGTTTGAGACACGAAGACTGGATCTCCAACAGCCATCTTGTGACCATGAAGCAATCCTACGGAAAAAAAAAAAAAAGGATCAGAAGAAAAGAAGGAACCTGGGATCATGGTGACACCATGTTGACAGAGCAACCAGACCAGCCTTGGGCCATCCAGCTCCAAATTTCACGGAATGTGGAAGAAACAAAAGACTTGTTTAAACCCTGTTGCTTTGATTCTCTGTGACTTGAAGCCAAATGCAATTCCTAACTCACTTACTTTGCTATGTGGCTGACCAACCATCCCACTGAGCTGTGTGGTCCTCAAGAGTGAACTCAAAGTACCGCTTGCCTCTGTACCGATGTCAGGAGCACAGCACCTGGGTCACTGTATTGACCTCGACCAACTCTGACTTTCTTGCCATGGAGGCAAAAGAGATGAAGTTAGGAAACAGACATTTCTGATTCCATGGCACAGAATTAAGGGAAGGGTGAAGGAAAGCGTGAAGAGAAGTTGGCTCCAGCATGTGAAGCGCAGACACTGGGGAGAACCGACCCAGCCTCCAACCTGCTCAGATGTGGGAGAGCAATGCCATCTGAGTGCCAGGCGCTCCACTTGCTCCTCTGCTTCAAGCAGTGATGGTGCCATTTCCATGCCTGGGAAACCCAGGGCCAGGAGCCAATTTAAACCTGGTAAGTGAAGTCAGGAGAGTACCTGAACCAGAGCTGGCTGTCAGCTTGTGCAAAATAGCCAGCCTCTCCAAGTACTGCAATTTGAGGAATTATCTTACATCTCCACCCTCTCCTCACCACACCTGAAATCCAACCACAAGACTGTTGATGCCAATGAGGTATAAGGCTTGCCATGCCAATGCCCCAAGACAATGAGTGCACTGGCTGTTGGGAAAGTCAACCTCTGGGAACCTCAGTTTCCTCATCTGTACAGTGGAAACAATACTGCCTACCTCTGTTTCCATATGGGGAGTTGGTAAGAGGATCAAATATCATGATGAACAGGAAAGCCCTTTTGTAAACAGTAAAACATTCTACAAACCCAAGATAGTGCACGTATTCATTTTTCTGGGGCCTCAGCTTCCACAATTATGGAAAATTCCTTCCAGATCCCTCATTCTATATATATATTTTTTTAATAATTTTCTTTTTATTTATTTATTTATGGCTGTATTGGGTCTTCGTTTCTGTGTGAGGGCTTTCTCTAGTTGTGGCAAGCAGTGGCCACTCTTCATTGCGGTGCATGGGCCTCTCACTATCGCGGCCTCTAGTTGCGGAGCACAGGCTCCAGACGCGCAGGCTCAGTAATTGTGGCTCACGGGCCCAGTTGCTCCGCGGCATGTGGGATCTTCCCAGACCAGGGCTCGAACCCGTGTCCCCTGCATTGGCAGGCGGATTCTCAACCACTGCACCACCAGGGAAGCCCCCTCATTCTATATTTATTACAACGTTTTCTACACTCAAGTGTATACAGCATAAAAAAGTTGTTGACTGAGTAAATCCTAAGAGTTCTCATCACAAGGAGAAATTTTTTTCCTTTACTCTTTTCTTTCCTTTTTATTGTATCTGTATGAGAAGATAGACGTTAGCTGAACCTATTGTGGTAATCATTTCACAATCTATGTAAATCGAACTATCATGCTGTGCACCTTAAACTTACACAGTGCTGTATGCCAATTGTTTCTCAATAAAACTGGGGAAAAATGACTTTAAAATTGTCATGGTTCCCCCACCCCTGCCACCTCCCACCCACTATGGGGCCACCACATAATACGGAAACCAGAGTTTTTTGTCCAATCATTAGGCTCTGGCCATTTTATTGATGCCATAAGTGCAGGGAAATAAAGCTGGGTCACATGTCAGTTCCTGTCCAGCTCTGTGCTGGGTGCTGTTCCCAGGGTGTAGTTGCAGGGATTCTGGGTATAGAAGTGTGAATTCCCACCATTTGTCAGTCCCCCAGGTCAAGATCAGAAGGGAGGTGCTTTAATCCAATTATGGCATTAAGTCATGGGAAGAGTTGCCCATTAGCTAATTTGCCCACAGTAGTGATTAGCTAATCTGATTAGCTCATTACCACCACCCACTTCTACCAACAGAAAGCAGAGCCTGAAGAGAATAGAAAAAGGATATGCTAGTTTTGATGGGAGGCAAAAAAAATTAAACATTGGAACTCAAAATGACCTAAGAGATGATCTAGTCAGGATGCTGTAAACTGAAAAACTCTGGCTTTATTTATCCTGTTCACCGGTGTCATGGTGTGTTTTTCTCACACCTGAATGCCTTTATATGCACTTTTCATTATCATTCTCCTCTCCCTGTTATCGTTTTCCTGACTGCCACCCATAGCCATGTTATCTGCTTGGCCCATGGAGTGGCCCTGCCAGGGCTAGTGTCCAACCTTTTGGTACCTATCCTGGTGCCCTTTGGTTAGGGCTAAGCATCTATAAGTATACGGGCACCTAAAGGAGAAGGGGATGGAAAAAGGAGTGGAAGAATTGGACAGACAATACAATCTCTCCAAATCTTAGAAACCTCTGAATATCTCTTATAAAATGGAGTTAATACTGCCTATCCTTAAAAAAATCTGATCAGAGAAGGCATGTGAATTGCCTGGGATACAGTATGTCCTCATTGAATGTTTCTTTCCTCTTCTTCCCAGAAGACTCAAGATGCTTTCCAACAGTCTTGCCTTGTGACTCTACATCCCTTACCTAAAGAAGTAGGTAAGCAGCACATGTGATTATGGTGCTTCAGAAGGGTGAAAGGAGGCAGAGAATCAGGAAGTGATCTGCCCCTCATCACTCAAGGCAGGCACTTCCACTACAACTGTCACCCAGTTACCCAGCCAACTCCTAATAGCGGTAGGAGCTATGCCGCCAATGCTACCCATGACCTGGGTGCTGCATGGTGTCAATACTACTGCTTTTGGCCACTGATTCCACACAAGTGAACCAGCCAATGGCAGAGACCAGTAACAACAAACAAGCTAAGAGGTTTCTCACTAGTTTCTTTTCCCTGCTTTATTCTTTTGAAGAACAATGCCTCCCCCAGTCAGATTCTTGTCTTTTGGGTTGTCCCCTGGGTCAGCTCACTGTCAGCCCACGGAGCCCAACCCAGCCAGTCATCTCAGCAACCTAGCTAAAACTTCAGTCAACAGGGGCAAAATGATCCTCTGACATCATGGAAAGCCACCACCAAGGGGCTGGGCACTGTCTGGCCTCATGAGCTGGGTGCCCAAAAGGACTGCCCAGCTCCAATTAGCTGGTCCACTGGTGGGACTCCTGTGCCCTGGGCCAGTCTCCTGATCTGTTTGTTCGTGACCATTAACCCGACTTTCAATGACACCATTAACTTGAATTTCAATGACTAAGTCAACCAGATCACAATAGAAACCAGGGGGGTCCAGCCCTGGCTGAAATCTTGGCATTTTGGTCACTAGTAAGCAGTGACCTTACAGCTGAACCCCACCTCCTCTTTCTCTCTCTCCTCGTGGTATTATCTTTCTTTGGATTTTCCATGGAGTTTCATTGCTTAGCAGCTGGCTCCCTGGGTTTTATCATCTTACACTAACTTCCTCTTTGTCTAAGTCCTACTCTCCCTCTGTCTCTGCCTCCCTCCACATTCCTCTTTCTTCCTCCTTCTCCTCCTCCCTGTCTCCTTTCTGTAAACATTCCTGGAAAGGCTTGTGCTCCTGATGAGAACTGAAGAAATCTGTCGAAGAGAGAGAGCTAGGAGAATTTACTAGTTAAAAGCAGAAGCTCTGGGGACTTTCCTGGCAGTCCAGTGGTTAAGACTCCACGGTCCCACCACAGAGGACATGGGTTAGATCCCTGTTCAGGGAACTGGGATCCCACATGCCATGCTGCGTGGCAAAAAAAAAAAAAGCATAATCTTTGGTATCAGCTTTGAGTTTGAAGCCAAGATTTGCCACTTAGCAACTGTGTAAGTTTGGCCATATGATCTGGCCACCCTGAACCTCAGTTTCCTCATCTTGACAACAGGTGTAACAATACTCATTTCATGGGGTCAAGGGTAACACTGTGTTATGTAAACTGTTTTGTTAGCAACTTGCCTAGCATATGGTATACTCTAAATAAAATTTAAATTAACACAGTCTTTGTTCTGTATTGTGGTTTAAGTCAATAAGGTTCCAGCTGGGTTCCTTGAAGGTCTGAGGCTCTAACACTTGCCAGGGATGGAGAGGTGTGTGGTGGATGGCAACAGGTTGAGCCCTACTTACTCTCCCACTTTCAAAACAGATCCTATTTTTTCTCTTTTTCATGTTGGGTCTCTGAAGAAAATTCTGAAAAAAGGATTCCATTGCCGTGAGAAAAATTCTGGAACTAACTTAAACTGATTTTCCACCTGTCCTTTTCCTAGTATTTTCCTCTTTGTGTTCATTCCAAAGACACTTAGAACCTCCTAAATCATTGTTCCACTCCCCGTTGCTTCCTTGAACTTGAACCTCCCTCTGTCCATGAAAAATTGTAACTGACATTTCTATTCTGTAAAGAAGATATCGAGGAGTTTAGCCCACCCAGCAGACTTTCTTTGGAGTTTGTTTCACAGGCCTATCACATAGTGAAAGACAGTTATTAGGTGCTTGGTTTCATTTGAAAAAAGCTGATTGCCCATTTTCTTTACCATTTGAGAAATGTGGTTACCCCCTGAATTTCACACGAGAGCCTGTGGTTGTGAATTAAATCTGAAAAAGCGCTCTCCATACTAGGCAATGTTGTTTCACTACCTTAAAAAAATTCTCTAAAAAAAAAAAAAACATGACCTTACTGAGAACAGCCCAGAAAGAAAAGTCACCTTTATGATCTGTAATTCCCTCCATGTTCCCCTGGAGGTAGAGGCCCGGGTAACCTGATGCTCACAAACGCATTCAGGCTTCCAGGAGGTTCTAGGCTTCTGGCACATAAGCTCAGAGGTCTCCTTCTCCCGCCTCATCCGTTTTGCATGCCCCCATTTGCATCCCTTGCATTTTGCCGAGAGAGGTAGGATGTTGCGGGTGTCTACAGAGGAAAGAATCCTACGTGGTTATTCGCCCCAGTGGTGAGCCCACATGAAGATGCATGTGGTTGAGATGAACCACTCTAGGATTAATGTTCACTAAAGATCATGTGTACAGACAGCACTGTGTGAGGACCCAGGAAACCAAGAGGCACATTTGATTGAAAGTTCAATGGTAGCAAAGTTCATGACAATATCATATATCAGTGTAGTCCCAGGGCCTAACACACTGCTGACACATAACAGACACTCAAGAAAGAGCCACTGAATGATGAATGAATGAATGAATGAATAAGAAAAAACAGCTTAGGAAAGAGCCATTCTCCCTTACCTCCCTTGCCTATTCCACAGTAGTTCACAGTGAGGCTGATGGCCTTTCTGCTTCCCCTCCAATCCACCTTTCCATGCTGCAGCAAGAGTGAGTCATCTGAAATATAAATAAAGTCTTGTCACTCCTGTGCTTCAAACCCTCCATCTAGGACTTAAAATATAACCAAAATCTTTGCCTTGGTCTACCAAGCCTGTGTGGTATGGTTCCTGGCTAGCTCAGTGACCTCATCTCCTTTCCTCCTATCCCCTTAATCTCTGAGCCACTCTGACCTATTGCCTGTTGCCTGGACAAACCAAGCTCAATCCTGCCTCAGGGCCTTTGTACTTGCTATTTCACTAGCCTGAAACACTCTTCCTCTAGATTTTTAAACGAAAAGGTATTTTCTTGTCATTCAAACCTCATGTCAAATGATACTCCTCAGAGTGGCCTTTCTTGAGCACTCAATCTAAAGTAGCCACCTGTTGGGGCTTCCCTGGTGGCGCAGTGGTTAAGAATCTGCCTGCCAATTCAGGGGACATGGGTTTGATCCCTGGTCCAGGAAGATCCCATGTGCCGCAGAGCAACTAAGCCCATGTGCCACAACTACTGAGCCTGCGCTCTAGAGCCCACAAGCCACAACTACTGAGCCCATGTGTCACAACTACTGAAGCCCGCTCGCCTAGAGCCCGTGCTCCACAACAAAGAATAGCCCCTGCTCACCACAGCTAGAGAAAGCCTGCGTGCAGCAACAAAGACCCAACGCAGCAATAAATAAATAAAGAAAGAAAGAAGTATTTTTTAAATTTTAAAAATAAAAAATAAAGTAGCCACCTGTTCATTCTCTATCACATCACCATTTTCTTTTTCTTCATAACAATAAGCACTTGGAAATAGTTTCACTCATTTCTTTGTTTTCACAATTATTGTCAGTCTTGTGCTCTAAAATGCAAGCTCCTTCTATTGTGTGCAACACTGACAACTCTCCAATGCCTGGAACAGAATTGCACCTGCAGGTCTTGATGGATATTTTGAATGAATTAATAAATGCAGCCTTGGCATCCTGAGGGTTCTGGGCAACACCAAGTGAATTCTCCCAGGGGGCCAATAATTCAGAAACAGAAGATAGATGCCTCCAATAGAAGGGCCAAGAAGGAAGAAATGTAAATGATAATAGCTAACATTTGTAGAGCACTTACTATATGTCAGATATTTTTCCAAGCCCTCAATATTTATCTTTTATAATTCTCACAACCATCCTTGGAGGTAGGTCAAATTATTCCTATTTTATAGATAAGTAACTGGTACAAAGAGAGTAAACAACATATCCTCTGACAAAGGTGGAAAATGGAAGATCAAAGAAGCAAACCAAACTATGAACCACTACGCTACAATGCTTTTCTCAAACTGTCTTACTCAGAGCATACATGGGCTAACAGCCACCCTTGGGGAGAGACTGTAGGAGACAAGTAGAAAGATGGAGCAAGTCATAACATCACTAATCATTAGAGAAATGCAAATCAAAACCACAGTGAGGTATCACTTCACACTGGTCAGAATAGCCATCACCAATATGTCTACAAATTTGATTATGCTGTAGAGGGTGTGGAGAAAAGGGAACCTTCCTACACTGTTGGGAATGTAAATTGGTGCAGCCACTATGGAAAACAGTATGGAGATTCCCCTTCCGGGCATATATCCAGAAAAGATGAAACCTATAATTCTAAAAGATACATGCACCCCAATGTTCATAGCAGCATTATTTACAAATAGCCAAGATATGGAAACAACTTATGTGTCCATCAACAGATGAATGGATAAAGAAGATGTGGTATGTATACACAATGGAATACTACTTAGCCATTTAAAAGAATGAAATAATGCCATTTGCAGCAACATGGATGCACCTAGAGATTATCATACTAAGGGAAGTAAGTCAGACAGAGAAAGCCAAATATCATATGCTATCACTTATATGTGGAATCTAAAAAAAATGACACAAATGAACTTATTTATAAAACAGAAACAGATTCACAGACATAGAAAACAAACTTATGGTTACCAAAGGCAGGGGAGGAATAAATTAGGAGCTTGGGATTAACAGATACACACCATTATATTAAAAATAGATAAACAATAAGATCCTACCATATAGCACAGGGAACTATATTGAATATCTTGTAATAATCTATAATGGAAGAGAATCTGAAAAAGAATGTACACATATATATGTGTGTGTGTGTGTGTGTGTGTGTGTATATATATATATATATATATATATATATATATATATAACTGAATCACTTGCTGTACACCAGAAACTAACACAACATTCTAAATCAACTATACTTCAATTCAAAAAACAGAATTTGCCAATGAAAAAGAAAGAAAAATGAAATATGGAGTAAGGCAGGTATTGATATCAAAGTAAACACAGATGTACCTCCAGGCTGGCAAAGTCTAAAGCCATGAGTAAACCTAATGAATGGTCTCATGTTGACAGAAAATGCTCTGGAGTCTGCCATTTAGCCCTTTGACCAAAAACATGCCTGGTAAAACTGCATGTCCACAGTTGTAGCAGTACCTGGGCAGTCTCTCTGCCACCACCCAGGCTTATGTGGCCTATAGGCTGACAGCCTACAGACATGTTTTGCTTAATCCTCATGGTATGGCCTAAATAAACATTTTTAAAAATTATACCTGTGGCCAACCTTTAAAATCAGGATACTTCACATTTAAGTTCAGATTTCTGGCTTCCATCAAAACATCACAAGAACTGGTAACACTAATCTTGGTTTTGCACCTGGCACGGTCAGCCAGAACTGAGCCACAGCTGTCCTTCTGGAAAGGAGCATGTGCATCCAGTTCACCACGGTCCCCATCACTCCCTAGTTTGTCTTTAATACTGAGCCGTATATTTCTGCCTACGTGTATTCACTTAAATGAGCCATGTATACTCTAAGCGTTTGAATTAATGATCCCTGGTGGGCATTTAACACCACACCCTGCACTGCTGGGACAGCTGTGACTGGCCTCCCAGCCTCCAGTCTTTACCGCTCCACAGACATGCTTCCCAGTGCCACCAGATCCCACATAACAGTTAGGGAAGGGATCAGCCACATAGCCATAATTCAAAACCAAGTTCATCCCTGGCACTGTGTTGCTGTCCTCCCCTCCCCACACTTTCCTCACCTTTAAAATGGGAGAATAATAATACCCACCTTGGATGGCCAAAAAGCGTTTTAAATACTAACAAATTCCATGGCACATATGCCATTCTGGGTATCACTTTTTTTTTTTTTTTTTTTTTTTTTTGGTACGCGGGCCTCTCACTGTTGTGGCCTCTCCCGTTGCGGAGCACAGGCTCTGGCCGTGCAGGCTCAGCGGCCATGGCTCACGGGCCCAGCCGCTCCGCGGCATGTGGGATCTTCCCGGACCGGGTCACGAACCCGTGTACCCTGCATCGGCAGGCAGACTCTCAACCACTGCGCCACCAGGGAAGCCCGCATCATATATTATTTATCTCTGTCTCTATTGTTCTTTTACCCAGAATGTTCAGCACTTTATTGAAAATAATAAGAGACACAAAGAAGCAAGAAAAAAAATACCTTCCTGTCAAGAGATAAAATATGCAACAGAACCAGACCCAGAAATAACCTAGATGTTAGAAGCATCAGACAGGGACATTATAACTACTCTAATGAACATGTTAAAGGACTTAGCATTAAAAAGGTGGACGAGGGCTTCCCTGGTGGCGCAGTGGTTGAGAGCCCGCCTGCCGATGCAGGGGACATGGGTTCGTGCCCCAGTCCGGGAAGATCCCACATGCCGTGGAGCGGCTGGGCCCGTGAGCCATGGCCGCTGAGCCTGCGTGTCCGGAGCCTGTGCTCTGCAACGGGAGAGGCCACAACAGTGAGAGGTCCATGTACCACAAAAAATAAATAAATAAAATAAATAAAAAGGTGGATGAAATGTATGGATCATGGGGAATTTCAGCAAAGAGATGGAAGCTATTAAAAAAGTGTCAGATGGAAATGCTAAACATGAAAACACAACATCAGAGATGAAGAACTGCCCAGGCAGTCTTGTCAACAAATGGGACACAGCAGAAGAAAGGATAAGTGAATTTGAAGATAGAGGTTATTTTTACAAATATGAAAGGAGAAGAACAACCAGTGGGAAAACACCCAGGAGCTGTGAGACCATATCAAATTGCCCAACATAAATGAAACTGAGTGCCAGAAGAAGAGAGAGAATGGGGCAGATGAAGTATGTGAACAGATCATGGCCAATAAGAGAAATAGACAAATCAACAATTATAGTTGGAGATTTCAACTTTTTTCTTGTCAATAATTGATAGAAAAATTAGACAAAAATTATTAAATATATAGATAACTTGAACAATACTATCAAGCAACTTGACCTAATGTATAGAATACCTCATCTCAGAGAATTTACTTTCTTCTCAAATGTTCATGAAATATTCAAAAGTAGACCATATTCTGGGGCATAAAACTAATCTCAATAAATTTAAAAGGATTAAAAATACAGAAAGGTATATTTTCTGATGACAATGGTGGTCAACTATAAATCAGCAACAGAATGACACCAAGAAAATTCTTAAATATGTGGGTAATAAACAGAACACTTCTAAATAATCTACAGGTCAAAGAGGAAATAACAAGGGAAATTAAACATATGTTTAAATTAAAATGATAAGAAATCTTAAAAATTTGTAAGATCCAGCTAAAGCAGTGTTTAAAGAGGAATTGATGGTATTAAATGCTCATACTAGAAAAGAAGAAAGGTCTAAAATCAATTATCTAAGTTTCTACCTTATGAAACTAAAACATTAAGAGCAAATTAAACCCAAAGTAAATAAAAGGAAGGAGATAATAAAGATAAGAGCATTGAAATAGAAAACAGAAATTAGTAAGCAAAACAACGAAACCAAAAGCTGGTGCTTTGGAAAGATCAATAAAATTGGTAAACCTCTATATATACAGATCAAGAAAAAAGGACAGAGACCCAAATTACCAATGTTATGAATAAAAGAAGGACTGTCACAGCAGATCTATCAGATGTTAGGAAGGATAATGTTATTTTATGAACAACTTCCTGACAATAAATTTGATAACATAGATGAAATAAACAAATTCCTTACTAAGACTCATTCAAGAAGAAAGGGAAAACTTGGGAGGCCTTATATCTATTAAAGAGATTGTATTCGTAGTTAAAGTCCTTCCCACAAAGAAAAATTCCAGTTTTACTAGGGAATTCTACCTAACATTTAAAGAAGATACAGTATCAATTCTACATGAACTCTTTCAAAAAATAAAAGAGGAAAAAACACTTTCCAACTTGTTTTACCAGGTTGGCATTACCCTGACATTAACCACACAACCCAGCAATTCTATTCTGAGGAATTTACCCAAGGGAAATGAAAACATACGTCCTCCCAAAGATTTATACAGGAATGTTTATTGTATCTTTATTCCTAATAGCCCCAAACTGGAAAAAACACAAACGTCCATCAGTTGGTGAGTGGATAAACAAATTGTGGCATATAGTGGAATACTACTCAGCAATAAAAAGGAACAAACCAGTGATTCATTCAGAAACATGGATGAATCTCAAAAGCAATATTCTAAGTGAATAAAAAGACAGAAAAGACTACATACTGTATGATTCCATTTAAAAGACAGTCTAGAAAAGGCAAAAGTATAGGGACAAAAAACAGATGAGTGGTTTCTAGGGGCTGGGAATGGGGAGAGGGGGTTAACTACAAAGAGGCATGAAGAAACTTCTTGGGATGATAGAAATGTTCTATCTTTTGATTGTGATAGCAGTTACTCAGCTGTATATATTTGTCAAAGCTCATCAAACTGTACACTTTCAAAGAGTGATTTTTATCATATCTAAATTATACCTCAGCAAATTTTAAATCTCTTTAAGAATGTTACCATTAGGGGAGACTGGGTAAAAAAGTACACAGGATTTTTCTGTAGCATTTTGTACAGATGCATGTGAATCTACAACTATAGCAAAATAAAAATTTTTTAAATAATAAAAATTTTTAAATTATAAGAGACTTTAAAATCTCTTTAAGAGAAGGATGGAGCAGAAAACGTTACTTCTATTCATTAAAATAAGAAGAAAAATGTTTACACTATAAATCAGGGCTCAGAAAGAATGTAGATTACACCCCTAGGTAAAGAGTTCAAGGTAATTTACCCAAAGTCATATTCGTGTGAGAGAGGGTGATGGCTTCTCCCCCTGAGCTTGCTCAAGTTGCCATCAGAAAGCCACTGCCAGTTATGATTCAAAACGTTCCCAAAGATTACAAGGAATCCTGCAATCCTCAACAACAAACTTCAGCTTGTGATCTTACCAAAAAAGCTCATGGTGACAGTCGTGCCAAGAATCAAAGTCAAACAGCAACCATTCCAAATCTCCCAGCCGTACTTTCCACCAGTAGAGAAGGCCAAGACAGGACAAGTGACCTTTGCCTAATGAGAGACTGGTGAGCCACAAAAATACTTCCCCAAAAGTCCACGGGGGCATGAAGCGCTACAGCTGTCCACAGCAGTTGGTGAAGTTCCTCTTTTGGGTTCCACATCTGCCTGGCAGACTTCCTCCATTTGGTCTGGCAGACCAGGTTCCAATAACCACAGGCTGGCATCACTATGGACCAAGCAGGGGATGAGGCATTCTGGGAGGAAGCAAAGGGGCAAACGGTCAAGGAGGGTCTGAACTTTGGTTTGGGGACAAGGCCCTCCATGCATTCCTCTAGAAGCTGGAACTTGACTTTCATCAGAGGACTTGAGGTTCATCCTGGCTTGGCTATTGTGGGACCTTGTGAAAATTCTTTAACCTCAGAATTCTCAACACTAATGGTCATAATACTTCATAAGAGAGATATTAAGATGTAATGAGGTCATGGTTATTCAAATGTTGGATTTCTCTTTTTCCCCAAGCCAGTGTTTCCCAAGGTGTAGCACCAAGGGGGTACATCAGAAAATTTGGGGTTATAATAGACTTTTTCATTTTAATACTTATAAACTTAATTTAAAGGGTATTAGAAAACTAGAACTAGCCCATCTACCTTGCTAAGATGAAATTAAGTTTAAAATGGAATCCAAGGGACTTCCCTGGTGGCACAGTGGTTAAGAATCCACCTGCCAATGCAGGGGACACGGGTTCCGGCCCTGGCCCGGGAAGGTCCCACATGCTGTGGAGCAACTAAGGCCATGCGCCACAACCACTGAGCCTGTGCTCTAGAGCCCGCAAGCCACAACTACTGAGGCCACGTGCCACAACTACTGAAGCCCATGCACCTAGAGGCCATGCTCCACAACAAGAGAAGCCACCACAATGAGAAGCCCACGCACCTCAACGAAGCGTAGCCCCCACTCACTGCAACTAGAGAAAGCCCACGCACAGCCACGAAGACCCAACGCAGGCAAAAATAAATAAATAAATAAATTTATAAAAATAAAAAAATAAAATAAAATGGAATCCAAGTGAAACCTATGTTAGAAATATATTAGGTTAATAATTTTTTAAATGTAGATATGGCAGAAATTATAAAGATGATTAAAATTTGAGAAATAATACTGCCAGGGCTGTGAATCTCATCCTTGGGTCTCCTGGAAGGAGCACTCGAGGCCTTTTACATTATATAACACAGTACTCTCTTTGTAAGAACCCAGGGACACATTGTTTTTGGTCACAGGATCAGATGCAGTTGTACTTCTCCCAAGGATTTGCTTTGGTTTATCTCATGAACATTGCAAACTGTGTAATCAATTAGGTTTCCCTGTTTGCACTGACAAGAAAGCTTAAAGCCTAAATTGGGGACCAGTTATCACATAATGTATAGGATTGTATCATATTCATTGTTTATGAGCCTCACTCCTAACTCTTATGGTCATTTATTTTTTCAGTTCTCTTCTACGTTTAACTTGTCTTCCTATATTTTCATATCCTTTAAACCACCTTAAATCTTATTTGAAATAAAAGAGGAGATAAATTGTTAAATGTCCTAAGTTCTTTTTCTTTTCTTTACTTAAAGATGGCATAAGCAAAGTTTGTCCTTAAACTCCAGGGATTGTTCTTTCTGAATCTCTTGGTGTCCCTAGGTTAATATAGATTCAAGTGTGCTTTGATAAGAGTGAGACAATCAGCATTCAGTTTCATTTTGAAATCAGCCCTTGTCAAAAGCCATCGTTGTCAGTATTACATCCCTGAGGTACAGAGAGTCATGACTGACTTCACACCTGGGTAACCCCATGGACCTTAAGTAAAATGGGAAATAGGTGCTGCGGTGGAATTGGGTTTCCTCCTTTTCCCTCAAAAGCCAAGCTTTTGCTGACAAAAAAACGAAAAACACAAGCTAAAATGATACCAAATTCGGCGTCAGAGCACTCAGAAAACCCACAGCAATGGAAAGCTACTTTATTCATAGTTTATACACTGAGTTTCCTAAACTAGCAGACTTTTCCTGCCTGCATCTCCCAGTACCTACCAGTGTTTTCTCCAGTGTGAGAAATTTTGGATCAACTTCTCATATTTTTCAGTGTCTTCACTACATTATATTTTCTGAGCCTCATCTTCTTCTCTATGAAATAAAGATAATCTCTATTCTACCTATTTCAACATGAAGTTACAATAAAACAAAATACAATATTCGCCGGGACTCTCTTAGTTGCATGTGACAAAAATTCAACTCAGACTAGCTAAGGGCAAAAGATAGATGGGGGATCGGGGGGTGGAGTAGGGGAGGAGATTATTTAGAAATTATTCATATGAAGATTGAATAACCACATCAGTGCTTAATGGTGGATCTCAGAGACCTCTGGAATCAGAAACTTAAATTCCACCAAGACCCTCTCTGTGTGTCTCATGTGTTTCATTCTGTAGGTCAACTTTATTCTTTCTTGAACTATATTCATAGCTTCCGTATCTCAAATCTCACAATGCACAAACCCACAGAGGAACTGAGATTTACTTTCTCTATCCCAAACTCAAAAATCCTACAAACGGATCTAACTGGCTAATCTTGGGTCAGCTACCCACGACTGAACTCATCAACTATGGCTGTTTAAGTTTGGGTATTAGGACTGGCTCATATCAGATTAAGTGCCTATCTGTGAGCCATTAAACACTATCTAGGACAAAGATCTTTAAAAAGATGAAGCTCCCACTCAAGTCAAATTTTTTAAATTAGTGTAGAGAAAGAAGAGAAGAGAATATGGAGAAAGATAGACTGTTATGGGCAGAAAAAAAAATAAGAGAGAATTACTACAGAGTGTTTAGGAAATCAGGATTATGAGACAAACATATGGTTTTCAAGTCACCCAGGAATTCAAGACTCATATCAAGTGCCACCTACTCCAAGAAACCTCTCCTGAAAACTACTGCCAATTATGAGACCCTTCCCTCACTGGCCTACCCATTATATTTATGTGAAATATAACTTCCACTAATTATATTTAATTTCTCATTTGAGTATATACTACATTAAATTACCTTCTAGCACATTGACTATTTTAAATTTTGTCTTCTCTGCTTGATTATTCCCTGGTGATAGAAATTGGCTGTTTCTTGCTGATGCAGTCATAATGATTGGTGTTAACTTATTATTGCTCCCAGGAAATACATTTGCATTTTAACTGGGGTCTGCCACATGCAAAGTCTGAACCCAAAGGAGTAATTATAATGTTGGGAATGTTACACATACAACAGGACATCTTTGGCAGTCTAACTTAGGCCCAAATGCTGTCAAATCATATATAACCACCACCATATTACTACATTTATCATCATCATGTTGTCATCATCAATTTTGGTTTGTTGATAAACTTAACAGCATTTATACATCCAGGACGTACTATCTGGAAATGGGGAGGGGTGGGCAGCACTGCATTATGGTTAAGATCATGGCCTCTGGAGCCAAGCAGACCTGAATTTGGTCTAAGTTCCGCCACTTAGTTGTGTGACTAAAGTCAAATTACTTCACACTGCTGAACATCGGTTCCTCACTATAAAGTGTGTACAACAATAGTACCTACCTCAAGGAGCTGTTTTCAGAATTATAATAAATGAGATAAGATGTCTAAAGCCCCTGGTACCTGGGAGTGTACCTGGTACATAGAAAGTGCTCAATAAATGGTAGCATTTAAAGTTCTAATTCAAATAATGTGTCCCATTCCCGCATAAACATATATATTCATCAAGATACACCACACACACACACACACACACACACACAAAAGATATATGACACAACTTTTAGTTGGAGAATGCAATAATTGCATCTAAACTCTATGTGGAAGGGGCTACAGAATCACAATAGTATATTCAAGTATATTCCTACATAAACTCTAAAATCTTCTGCCAGGACATAGGACTGCAATTATCTTATAAAACTTTATTAAATTTATTAAAGTTGTTTAATTCAGACTTCCTACTAAGTCCCACACACAGACATATATAATAACACAACTATTCCTGCCCCCATCCCCTGGAGGGTAGCATGGACTCACAGCATACTTTATATGGACAAGAAACTAACCTTTTCTTGGTCATGCTACTGAAATTTTGAGGTGGTTTTTTTATTGTAGCATAACCTATCCTTACCTGACTAATAAAAGACTTCTTAATTTTTTCCCCAGTGTGCACTTAAAACTGCCCTTCCAGAACTTCCTCTCCCCATGCTTCAGATCTTTACTTGCTGCTTTCTCCATTGAAAAACACCTCTCCTATATCCCATGCCTTCAGGGACAATGAATTCTATGTGAATTCCTGCTGACTTGTTAAAGCTACAGAAGCATAAAAATGTTATCCTTTCCAAGAAACATACTTATAATTCAACTAGAGCCAAATGCAACAAAATGTCTTATCCCAAAGGAGTGAATTTTTAATAGCATGGAAGTCCAAAGAGAAAGAAATTTAAACATGTTAAGACATTTCTGACTATCATATTAAAAATGTCTCATTATAATTTTATACTTCATAAGGAACTTGTATATTCAGTATCTCAGGGCAACATTATTATCCCCATTATACAAATAAAGGAACTGGCGCTAAGAAAGTTTCATTTGATTGCTCAAGTTCACATGGCTGATAAATGATAGATTCAGAAATATTTAATCCAGATCTATTCCAAGCACAGAGTCCATTCAATCAATGAATAATTGTATATTATCTACTATATTCCAGACACTGTTCTAGACTTTGGAGATACAGCAGTAAATAAAACAGAAAAAAAAAAATCTCCCATCTCAGAGAGCTTACATTCTAGAGAGGGGAGATGAGGAGAGCCAAACAAAACAAAACAAAAAAACACATAATTTGGTGTCAGTTGGCAAAAGGCATAATGAAGAAAAATAAACAATGGTAAAGAGGACAGAGTATGCTAAAGGGTGCTATCTTATATAGGTAGTCACAGAAGGCCTTTATGAAAAGGTACATTTCAACAGAGACCCGAATGAAGGAAAGCAGCAAGCCAGGCATCTATTTGTAGTATAGGCTTTCCAGATATGGGTGGCAGCAAGCGCAAAGGCCCTGAGACAAGAGTGTATCTGATGTTTCCAAGGAACAGCAGGAGGGCCAATCTGGGATGAATACAGAAGTGAGTAAACAATAGGAGATGAAACCAATGAGGAAGTAGAAGGCAGATCACGGAGGGACAAGTGGGCCAATACAAGGATTCTGGCTTTCTCCTGAATGAAATAAGAAGCCTTTGGAATACTTTGAACATACGGGAGACTGGGCACTCTGATAGGAACTGGTGATGTAACAATAGATAACCAATAATAATTAATTAATTGGGGGCACCAATTAAGATCAAGCTTATAGGGAAACTTACAATCTTAAGACCCTTATATTAAGAAAGAAGAAAGGTCTGTCATACAGAGTGAAGTCAGTCAGAAAGAAAAAGACAAATACCATATGCTAACACATATACATGGAATTTAAGAAAAAAAATGTCATGAAGTACCTAGGGGTAAGACAAGAATAAAGACACAGACCTACTGGAGAACGGACTTGAGGATATGGGGAGGGGGAAGGGTGAGCTGTGACAGGGTGAGAGAGAGGCATGGACATATATACACTAACAAACATAAGGTAGATAGCTAGTGGGAAGCAGCCGCATGGCACAGGGACATCGGCTCGGTGCTTTGTGACTGCTTGGAGGGGTGGGATAGGGAGGGTGGGAGGGAGGGACACGCAAGAGGGAAGAGATATGGGAACATATGTATATGTATAACTGATTCACTTTGTTATAAAGCAGAAACTAACACACCATTGTAAAGCAATTATACCCCAATAAAGATGTTTAAAAAAAAAGAAAGACTGAAAAAAGTCAATGATCTATGCTTCCATCTCAAGAAGTTAGACATGAAATAACAAATTAAACCCAAAGAAAATGTGGGAGGAAAAAAAATGGTAAGAGTAGAAAGTAACTGAATAAAAAACGTATCCCTAGTGAGACAAATTGAGATCAAAGAGAATACAAAAATAATCAATATCAGAAATGAAAAGGGCATCACTCTAGATATTTTAGACATTAAAAAGATCATAAGGGACAATATATTGAAATGTATTTCTAAATTCCAAATTTTTGAATAATCAAATTCCTAAAAAAATATAAATTATCAGAACTGACACAAGAAGAAAGAGAAAATTAAAATAATACTATAACCATAAAATAAATTAATTACATAATTTAAAACCTTCTCAAAAGAAAACTGTAGGCCCAGATAGCATTACTGATGAGTTTTACCAAACATATAAAGAAGAAATCATGTCAGACTTTACAATAAATAAAATGGAACCCTCATCAACTGAGGAGGGTAAAACTGAGGAGGGTATTCTGAGGAAGGAAAATTACAGACTAATCTTACCCATGAACACTGATACATCAAAGCCAGCAATATGTAAAGAACAATGTATCACAATCAAGTAGAGTTTATTCCAGGAATGTAAAGTTGAGTTGACATTTATAAACCTATACATGTAATTTGCCATATTAAAAGAGTAAGCAGAAAAATCATGATTATCTCAAGAAAGAAGGGAAAAAGGTTGAGTACTTCGAAGAGGAGAAAAATGTTCATTCATCATATTTTTCATATGGGTAATGTCGCCTATTTCATTTCTAATTTTATTTATTTGAGTCCTCATTGTTTTTCTTGGTAAATCTAGCTAACAGTTTTATCTATTTTATCTTTTCAAAAACACAGCTCTTAGTTTCATTTATCTTTTCTATTGTCTTTTTAGTCTCTCACTTATTTCCACTCAGATCTTTGTTATTTCATTCCTTCTGCAAACTTCGGGCTTAGTTTGCTCTTCTTTTTCTAGTTTCTTAAGGTGTAAAGTAAGATTATTTCTTTGAGATCTTTCTTTTTACTTAATGTAGGCGTCTATCACTATATACCTCCATCTTAGAGCTTTAGCAAAAGCAACAAAAGAAGAAATAGATAAATTGAACTTTATCAAAATTTAAAACTTTTGTGCCTTGAAGGACACCATCAAGAAAGTAAAAAGACATTCCCTGGTGGCGCAGTGGTTAAGAACCCGCCTGCCAATGCAGGGGACACGGGTTCGAGCCCTGGTCCGGGAAGATCCCACATGCCGCAGAGCAACTAAGCCTGTGCGCCACAACTACTGAGCCTGTGCTCTAGAGCCCGCGAGCCACAACTACTGAAGTCTGTGCGCCTAGAGTCCATGCTCTGCAACAAGAGAAGCCCCCACTCGCCGCAACTAGAGAAAGCCCGTGTGTAGCAACAAAGACCCAAAGCAGCCAAAAATAAAATATAAATAAATAAGAAAGTAAAAAGACAACCCACAGAATGAGAAAAATATTCACAGATCACATACCTGATAAGGAATTAGTACCTAGGATACATAAAGAACACATATATCTACATAATAGAAAGACAAATAACCCAATTAACAAATGGGCAAAGGATCTGAATAGACATTTCTACAAGAAAGGTATTAAATGGCCAATAAACACATGAAAAGACACTCCATATCATTAGTCATGGGGAAATCCAAATCAAAACCACAGTGAGATAACACATCACACCCACTAAAGATGGCCAGAATCAAAAAGTTGGGTAGGGCTTCCCTGGTGGCGCAGTGGTTGAGAGTCCGCCTGCCGATGCAGGGGACACGGGTTCGTGCCCCGGTCCAGGAAGATCCCACATGCCACGGAGCGGCTGGGCCCATGAGCCACGGCCGCTGAGCCTGCGCGTCCGGAGCCTGTGCTCCGCAACGGGAGAGGCCACAACGGTGAGAGACCCACATACCGGAAAAAAAAAAAAAGTTGGGTAGGGGTTCCCTGGTGGAGCAGTGGTTGAGAGTCCGCCTGCCAATGCAGGGGATGTGGGTTCGTGCTCCGGTCCGGGAAGATCCCACATGCCGCAGAGCGGCTGGGCCCGTGAGCCATGGCTGCTGAGCCTGCACGTCTGGAGCCTGTGCTCCGCAATGGGAGAGGCCACAACAGTGAGAGGCCGCGTACCACAAAAAAAAAAAAAGTCGGGTGAACAACAAGTGTTGGTAAGACTGTAGAGAAATTGGAACCCTCATACACGGCTGACAGGGATGTAAAAGGGTATAGCCACTTTGGAAAACAGTCTGGCAGTTCCTCAAATGATCAAGCATCGAGTTACCATATGACCCAGCAATTGCAACCCTAGGTAACAACCCCAAGAGATATTAAAACATATGTCCACACAGAAACTTGCATACAAATGTCATAGCAGAATTATTCAAAGCAGCAAAAAGGTGGAAACAACCCAAATATCCATCAACAGACAAATGGATAAACCAAATGTGATGCAATCATACAATGGAATATTATTTGTGCATAAGAAGGAATGAAGCACTGACATATGCTATATATGGATGAAGCTTGTAAACATAAGAAGTAAAGAAGCTAGTCACAAAAGACCACATATTATATGTTTCCATTTGTATGAAATGTCCAGAATTGAAACCTATAGAAACAGAAAGTAGATGAGTGGTTGCATAGGGAAGCAACCAGGTTATTAGGAGCATAACAGCTAAAGAATATGGGGTTCCTCTCAAATTGATGAAAAGGTTCTAAACTTGACTATGGAGATGGTTGCACATATGTGAATGTACTAAAAATCATTTAATTGTACACTTTAAATGGGAGAATTGTATGGTATGCGAATTACAGTTCAATAGAGCTATGTCTTATAAAAGGAGAAAACGTTAGATTTCAAGGACTGAGTACAAAAAGAAATGTAAGGTATCTCATTAATTAATTTTTTTTTTGGCTGCGTCGGGTCTTCGTTGCTGTGCACAGGCTTTCTCTAGTTGTGGCAAGAGGGGGCTACTCTTCGTTGCAGTGCACAGGCTTCTCATTGTGGTGGTTCCTCTTGTTGTAGAGCACGGGCTTTAGGCGTGTGGGTTTCAGTAGTTGTGGCTCACGGGCTCTAGAGCGCAGGCTCAGTAGTTGTGGCGCACGGGCTTAGTTAGTCTGCGGCACGTGGGATCTTCCCAGACCAGGGCTCGACCCCGTGTCCCCTGCATTGGCAAGTGGATTCTTAACCACTGTGCCACCAGGGAAGTCCCTCATTAATTAGTTTTAACATTGATTATATTTTGAGATGATAATGTTCCAAGTTGATAAAATATATTATTAAAATTAATTTCACTTGTTTCTTTTCACTTTTTTTAAACATGACTACTTGAAAATTCAAAATGACATATGTGACCCACATTATATTTCTATTGGATGGTGCTGTTTTAGAGATCTTACTTAAAAGACAAACTCTCTGAGCCTCAATTTCCTCATTCTTTATGAAGCAGTTATAATAGTACTGACCTCACAGGGCTGTGGCAGGGATTAAATGAGATAATGGTTTTAAAGAATTTAGCATGTGAACCTTAGCTCTTATTTTAAATGTTGGGTCTTTTTATCAAGGAAGCCCCTGGGTATTACCGAATACAGCCATCATATCAAAAACCTCTAGCAGAAACTTTGAATTTATTTTACTATCATAAACTTAGTTTTAGAACTAAAAGGGATCTTAGAAACTACCGCATCCAAGAATTGCCAATTGTCATCTTGCAGATTTATTGTTTAGACCACACCATGGTTTTTAGAAATTGGATCTGAATATCTTTATTGTGAGACTGTGCTCTCCACTTGGCCACAGGCCCAACCACTCCCAATTCCCTTGGCAGAGACTTACATTTGGGTCACCTCTTTGGTGCTGAAGGCATCTGAGTTTGGACTTCGTCTTCAACTGGTCCAAGCCCCTCACTTATCTGCTGAAGAAACGGCAGCCCATGGAGGAGGACACTCAGCGGGTAGGTGCAGAACCAGGACTATAATTCAGTCTGCAGAGAGCCAGGCCAGCACCTCCTCCATACACACCAACGTGTGGAAGATCCTGACTGAGGGGGCAGGAACACAAGATGTCCAGCTGTTGTTAGAACATGCAACCCTTGGAGGCCTTGGTGGGACTGTGAGTTGTTCTTTAGTTTACCACTGGAGCAAATCAATCATTACTGTAGGCTATGATAACTTTACTGGAAACCAGTGGGTCATTCTGGTGGGAAGAAAGAGAAGATAGTACCTGGAAATCAATACTTCCAAATAGCCTGGTCTAAGATGCCCCAAATCCAGCCCTCAGTAAATCTGCCAACTAGCCCTCCCTGCACCATTATTTCCTTCCTCACATTTGTTTAGCAAATCAACAAAACTTAACAAAGCTCAATCATTTGATTCCCAGAGTAAACCCACTGAGAAAAAGGTGACCTGGAATAATTATTTCCATTTTATTTTTGAGAAGACTGGACCGACAAGAGGTCAGAAATTGTAGCATGAAGCAAGGACCCAAAGATTTCCCAAAGTTCACTCCATGCATATTTTGTTTTTACCATATCCAAATGCCACCTGCACTATTCCATTTTGTGGGTTTTTTTTTTTAATGGGCACTTACTAATTTTCTTAAGTCAATTGATACTGAGAAGAAATTTTACTTCATTACCTGAAATAGAAAACCATCACTTGCCAAAAATAGATTAATAAATACAATGTAAAATTCTAATCAGAAACCGTTGCCTGGAGAGCTATTAAAAGTCCCAATGTCCAGGCCATACCCCCAGACCTACTAAAACAGAATTCCGGCAGAGGGAGGAGGAGAAGACCAGGCAAAAGTAATTTTTTTTTTTTGGCGGTACGCGGGCCTCTCTCTGTTGTGGCCTCTCCCATTGCGGAGGACAGGCTCCGGACGCGCAGGCTCAGCGGCCATGGCTCACGGGCCCAGCCGCTCCGCGGCATGTGGGATCTTCCCAGACCGGGGCACGAACCAGTGTTCCCTGCATCGGCAGGTGGACTGTCAACCACTGCGCCACCAGGGAAGCCCCCAAAAGTAATTTTTAAAGCTCTTTTCAAGAAATAGCAGTGTGAGCCAAGGATGAGACCCTCTAGAATTGATACTTCTGCCTTCTAAAACCTCTGCACCTGAGGCCCACTCTCTGTTAAAGAGATCAACAAGTGGTGGAGAGGCATTAAAGACACATCTAGCCCCAAACTGAGACCTCCTCCTCGATGCCTTCAGAAAAACTATGAAATGGAAAAACGTTATCATTTGTGATTTGTAACTGTTTAATGGGTTGTTCCCTTACAGTCTAAAATTACCTCACATAGCACTTGCCCTTTGGAAAACACGGGACCGGTGGTCTAGTTTCTATTTTTGTGCATGTTCCACTCCCACTTCCCAGCCAAAGACTCCATCAAGGTAATTCTGGAGAACCCCTACTCACCTCTGTGTGTTCTCCAGGAGGGACTCCAAATGACTGCACTTACATCACACTTTCAGGCCCATCTTTCTATTTCAAAATGAATCCGTCCAGCAGTTCACATTAGAAAATCTTAAGGCAAAACCACATCTCTGTCTTCTTTCATTTCCTCCCAAGAAGCCCCTCATTTTCACCCAGGAATATCTGGCCCTGGAGATGGTTTAAGTCAGCTGTGCCCTTTTGGATCTTAAACGGAAGTATCAGCAGGAGAGATGGTGCAGAAAGCCACAAGACTTGCAGAGGGGTTTCTGCTATTCAGTTTCTTTTTCTCCCTTCATCTCTGAGCACACACAAGCACTCAATGACAACCTGTCCTGATCAAGGGATGAGTCTAGAATGAAAGCTGGACTTTTGAGTGGAGACTCCTGATCTCCAAGACGTTTCCTCTTCTGGCCTGGGCAGCACCCCTAGAACTGGGTACCTGGCTGCACAGACTCAGGTTTGCAGAGCTGCCCCCAGAGGACAGCATGGCCTCAAGAGCAGGCAGCTTGGTTCACAGACAGAAAATTGAACAAAGCTCTGATCTCCTCACTGCCTATATTTAAAACTCAAATGCTGACACACTACCACCAGCTGAACCCTTCTCTCCTGTTTCCCTTAGAGCCTATGATCCAGCCTCCAGGTCTCCTCCCTGATTCTCTATCCCAAAGCTGCAAAGCTCCTGCTATGTCCGTAAGTCTAAAATGTCCTTCTGCTCCATCCCCACCTGTCCAAAGCCCACCCACCCTTAAGGCTGATTGCAAATGTCACCTCCTCCATGAAGCCTGAGATGACTTCTCCAGCCAAATAATAATAATAATAGAATTAATAATAATAATATTATAGGTAGCGCTTATCAAGCACTTGCTATTGGCAGGCACTAAGCTAAGAGCTCACATGTTTGATCTTGACCAAATCATACACTAGACAGTATCTCATTATCCCTGCCCTGCCATTTTCTATCTCTGTGACATCTGTCAAGTTACTTTTTCTCTCTATGCCTCATTTTCCTCAGACATCAGTGGGGATTATAATGTATCTTCCTCATAAGGTTGTTAACAATAAAATAAATTAATGCACATAAAGCATGACACATGGTTTTTACTCAGTAAGTAGCATTAGTTCTTGTAAGAACATTACAAGAAGTAAATAATAATGCGTTAGTAGTATCCGCATTTTACAGGTGAGGAAACCAAGGCACAGAGAGTTTAGGGTAAACAGCCCACGTTCAGTGAAGAGCAAGAATTTTACTTCTCTCTCTGGTCCTAAATTGGGCTTTGCTCATAATGCTCAACTGTTCTTGTCAATTATTTGCATTCCTGTCTGCTGTCATCTTTCCAGCTTCATTGTTTCACTTTTCCTCCTGTAGACACTAAACTCCAGGGTAGAACAAATGGGTGTCTCCTGGACACTGGGCCCCTGAATTTTTCTAGCGCATTTTCCTAGCCCTCCCCGACTGACCCTCTTCTCCTTGTAACAGTACAGCCTCTCCTTCAAATCTACTGTGACTCCTCCTCCTTCATGTAATCTTGCCTTCAACCTCCCAAGTGGGCGTGGTCTCTCCACCCCTTCTGTTCCCCTAGCGGTTCATTTGGACTTTGAGCCTTCTCTCATCCTGTCCTATTTAATAGACATCTGAGCCCTTGGCTTATTTCCACCGCTAAACTGTAAACTCCTTATGAAAAGGGATTAGGGACTTCCCTGGTGGTGCAGTGGTTAAGACTCCGTTATCCCAATGCAGGGGGCTGGCCAGGGTTTGATCCCTGGTCAGGGAACTAGATCTCACGTGCATGCCACAACTAAGAGTTCACATGCCACAACTAAGGAGCCAGTTAGCCGCAACTAAGGAGCTCACCTGCCGCAACTAAGACCCAGCACAACCAAATAAATATATTTTTTTAAAAAGAAAAAGAAAAGGGATTTACTCTCAACCAAACAATACACTAGGAATTCAATAAAACTTTGATGGATGAAGGAATGGCTGAATAAATAAATAAATAAATGCACTTGTTTTCATGTTTCCTTGGAGAGGATCCCTAGCTTCCTGGATGTGTTTGGTACCTGCATTGCATAGAAAACACTTTTGTCCTGAGCATTTTGAAGAGAAGATAATTGTTCATTCATCGTATTTTTCATGTGGACCAAGGAGATATCAAGAGAAGTTGTATTCGCTATGATTCCTAGTGTAGAATTCTGAGCTGTATTATACCTCGGCAAGTCTTATGCACCCTTTCCAGAGGTTACAATCAGTCAGTACAGTCAAATTCCACCCGTAGACATGTTTGTTGTAGTGATTACAATATTATTTTTAAAACTGAATTGAGGTATAGCCACTTTGGAAGACAGTTTGACAGTTTCTCATAAAACTAAACATACTCTTGGGCTTCCCTGGTGGCGCAGTGGTTGAGAATCTGCCTGCCAATGCAGGGGACGTGGGTTCGAGCCCTGGTCTGGGAAGATCCCACATGCCGTGGAGCAACTAGGCCCGTGAGCCACAAGTACTGAGCCTGCGCGTCTGGAGCCTGTGCTCCGCAACAAGAGAGGCCACGATAGTGAGAGGCCCGCGCACCGTGATGAAGAGTGGCCCCCACTCGCCGCAACTGGAGAAAGCCCTCACACAGAAACAAAGACCCAACGCAGCCAAAAATAAAATATAAATTAATTAATTAATTTTAAAAAAAAGAGTAGCTCCTGCTCTCCACAACTAGAGGAAGCCTGCACGCAGCGGCGAAGACCCAACGCAGCCAAAAATAAAATATAAATAAACATACTCTTACTATACAAGCCAGCAATCATGCTCCTTGGTATCTACCCAAAGGAGCTGAAAACTTATGTCCACACAAAAACCTGCAAATGGTTTTTATAAAGTTTATAGCAGCTCTATTCATAGTTGCCAAAGATGTCTTTCAGTAGATTAATAGATAAACTATGGTATATCCAGACAATGGAATATTATTCAGCACTAAAAAGCAATGAACTATCAAATAATGAAAAGACACAAAGGAACTTTAAATGCATATTTACAAAGTGAAAGAAGCCAGCCTGAAAAGGCTACATACTGTATGATTTCAACTACATAACATTCTGGTAAAAGCAAAATTATGAAGACAGTAAAAAGATCAGTGGCTGCCAGGAGTTGAGGAGGGGAGGGATGAATAGGTAGAGGGCAGAGGATTTTTAGGACAGTGAAAACACTCCACATGATACCACAATTATGGATACATGTCATTACAGATTTGTCTAAACCGACAGAACGTACAATGCCAAGAGTGAACTCTAATGTAAATTATGGGCTCTGAATGATAATGACATGTCAACGTAGGTTCATCAGTTTTAACAAAGGTACCACTCTGATGGGGATGCTGATAATGGGGGAAGCTGTGCATGTGGGGGGGGCAGGGGGTTTATGTGAAATCTCTGTACCTTCCCCTCAGTTTTGCTGTAAACCTTAAACTGATATTAAAAATGAAGTCTAAATTTTGAAAAATTGAATTTGAATGCATTTAGATGGGACATGACTGTCCTAGTATTCTGATGTCTCCAGGACCATCCAGAACCATATACACGGCACCCTTCACTTGTTTAACCTTTTTTTTTTTTTTGCAGTACGCGGGCCTCTCACTGTTGTGGCCTCTCCAGTTGCGGAGCACAGGCTCCGGACGCGCAGGCTCAGCGGCCATGGCTCACGGGCCCAGCTGCTCTGCGGCATGTGGGATCTTCCCGGACCCGGGCACGAACCCACATCCCCTGCATCAGCAGGCGGACT